AGCAGCCTTACTAACAACTATCGCGGCATTCATTAACAACTTTCGCAACCTATATTGACAACACAATATCCCATTTCGCAGAAAAGGCTTCTATCCACACCAACTTTCATCTTCTTCAGCTTTTCATGCTAAAACAGAGCAAAACCACCCACAATGTCATCAAAAATAGAGCACTCATCATCATCCTACCCACCCATAATGAAATCCCAACTTAAATCACCAATCTAAATGTCTTAGTGTACTATTTTAAACTCAAAAAATTTGCAGAGAAACAAAAGGAATACATTGCTATAAATGAAGAACACAGATGAACACAGAGATGCTGACAACAACAGCTTTGTTTCGACCATAAACAACTTTAATGATGCCCTATACCTGGACGATCTTCAATGATTATAGCAAATGTAAACAGATTTGAGGTTCATTGCTTCTAATGAGGGTTGATTTAGCGTTAGTTTTTGAGAGGAGAGTGAGATAGCAATGTGTAAATAGAAATAGGGTTCAAAATCATATTTCATTTCAACAGGGACAACATAGTCTTTTTATGATTTGTCTTATTGCAATCAAGTCCCTTTGGGACTTCTAAGTAGTTATCAGATTTGAAAGGACTTTTTTGCAGTATTTTTTCTTCTGTGGGACCTTAGTGTCATTTTTCCTTGTGTTTATGATACACTGTTGTGTCATAGATCTGCACTAAAAAGAAGTGAAATGAAAGGAAATATTGGGCATGCCCACGCACACAATATATTACTCTCCGGTTCTTAATAGAGGACCTAATTATTGAGTTGGTTTTGATCCTAAATATAAGACCCATTTCTCATATTTATCAATGTTCTCTAAATTACCCCTATGAATACTCCCTCAACTATAATCAAGTAGAAGGAGGAGAGAGGGTATTAAGAAAGATGATTATGGTGTTTTAGAAAAAACGTGTCACATTTCTTATAATTAACTAACTTACCTAACTTCCTTAATCTAATCAAATTAGTTAAATGGGTCTTATATTAAGGATCGATGGAGTATAAATATATATATATATATATATATATATATATATAGACGTTGAAAGAGATGGTGGGTGCGTGCGTGTGCGTGCGTGCGTGCGTGTGTCTGGTCATACAGCAACGCTCGTGTGTTTGCCCTCTTGAAATTTGTACAGTGGAATGAAAATTACGCATGCAAATAAATATCCCAGCATGCATGCATCTGAGACACTAATTCTGATGAGCTCAGAAAATTAAAAATACCGAAGCAAATTAAATTAAATGCTAGCTAGTACATGATCTACTTTGTGCTTCTTTTTCTAGTGTCAGCAGCGAGCTGGAAAGGGCCCATAAATAAAATAATTAGACGCAAGGTTGAAATGAAGAAATTAAAGACCATACCTTTCTTTTCACGTACGTCCTAATCAACACACGTTGTTTTCAGATTGATTAAAATATCAGCAGGGTTGAGTTTTAGGTGAAACAGATTACATTTCAATATTAATTAATCTATGTGCGTGTAATATATATATATATAATATATATGTTGATTTTCTTCCTCTCTTTCTAGGCGAGAAGATATGAGAGAAGGGCTGCACATCGTTCGTGGGGGTCAACATCGCTCGTAGAATATGATCATAAAGGCAACGAAGATTGAGACAGCACATTGAATTACCAATTATTTTTTCCTTTTTCCTTTGGGGAAAAATAAGAATTGATGTTATACTAATGCATGTATTGGCGTGTGGGTCACATTTAGGTACCAAGGTTGTTTTCAAATTCACACATGCTTTTGATTCAGGAGTGGGGCCTTTTCCCTTTTCTTCTTCTCTTTTTGAGAATGGGAAATTTACTGATTCCAATGAAAAGCAACAGCAAGTGTATAATACTATTTTCTATTTTCATGATAACATAAGAGATACATAACTAATTTAGAAAAATTAAAAAATAATCAAATTAGTTAACTGTAACAAACACGTGTTGATTTTCTTAAACCACTGTTACTTTTTTATTCATATGCATTAAAATTATTATTGATAAGGTTATTTTAAAGAACATATCAGGATCTTATACTGATAATCAAATTTAATCTTTAATTGCCTCTTATGTTAATCATGAGTGGAGGCAGCGATACTAAAAGGACATGGACTAATAATGGTTGCAGTCATGAGGAGAATGAGCGAATTAATCATGCACTTGTCTGTCCGATGCCATTTCTCGTGATACGGTGGCTGTAGTCGGAGCTCGCGGCCGGATGGAATCTTCGAATTTGGTACTCCTCCAGTCCTTAATATAAGACCCATTTAACTAATTTGATTAGATTAAGGAAGTTAGGTAAGTTAGTTAATTATAAAAAAATTGACACATTTTTCCTAAAACACCATAATGATCTTTCTTAATACCCCCTCTCCCTCTTCTACTTGATTATGGTTAATGGGGTATCCATAGGGGTAATTTAGAGAAAATTGATAAATATGATAAATGGGTCTTATATTTAAGACCAAAACTAACTTAAGAATTGGGTCATATATTAAAGACCGGAGGAGTATTAAAATGGAATAATGCCTCCTTTTCAAAAAAAAGAAGAAGGGAATAATACCTAAAGGATATGTATGCTTTAGTAAAAAAAAAAAAAAAAAAGAACAATGCCCAGGAGGCATGTGGGCCTACATATAAAAACTATAATGGGCCAGTCTTGACATTGGACGACCCACCGGGAAAAGCGGAGAATATCACAGGCCCAATTTTGAAGGCCTCCAACCTTCGCAACCCACCCAAATTTATCTCTATCAAAATATCAAACAGCCACTGATTGTATAGGCATAGTAATGCAATTATTATATTTCTGGCCGATCACTATTTGTTTCGCGGTTTCAAACAAATATATCTGTTCAATATTTCACTGGTAATAATGCTTTACCCCTTCAATATCTCGGACTATGTACAAGTTATGTATGTATAGGACCAAAAAGGAATGTTATAATACTTGTTTTATGTACATGGTGCTGATCGATCGACTTCTACTCCAGCATAAATAAAGACTCCGACAAGCAAATAGCACGGTTTATTTATTTTATGCATGCTAGAGCAGGTGATACCATCATTTTTTTTTTTAAAAAAAAAGAAAGATATAAAAGTTTATGAAAGTATATAGGGAAAATTAAATTTTTTGGTCATCAAGTTTTAACTAGCTATGACTCAATTGTTCTACCATGACTCAATATAACTTAGTTTTTGAACTTTTAATTTGGTTATAATTCGTTCATAATCTTTTTTTCCGTGTGACTCATCTTAACTCATCTCAAGTGGCTTCCAAGTAAGTTCCACATAGATTAAATAGAAAATAGAAAAAAGAAAGACGAAAGAAAAATGACCAAAAAAAATGAAAATTACTAAATACCAAATAAAGAATGTCAATAAAAATTTGTTGTTATTTATAAATTTATTGTTATCAATGAGAAAAAAAATATTGTCACCAAACTTAATTTAAAATTTAGTAATTTTCAGTTTTTTTTTGGTCATTTTTTTCAAGAAAGAATTCATGACTGGCTTTCTTCATATCTTGGATTAAATACTCATCGGCACTGGCGGGCAAGCGCACGTATTCTGCCCAAGCACTTCCCTTTTCGGGTGTAACTATTCTTCTTTCTTGTTTTTAGCTCCTTTCTTTTTTCTATTCCCGCTTTATTGACTCACCGGTGAAATGCAACGAAGTGGAGACGCAGCCACCAAGATCACCATTATTAGCGGGGCTTCCGTCATATGCAGTTTTCTTTTTGAACTCCCAAGCAAGCAGGTCATATATATACTGATTGACCCAACAAATGGACGCTCCGAATGGTGTAATTGACCATCTGTGGTGCTGCTGTGTTCAAGGAGACGAGCTTCTGAGTTCTATAAAGAAATTACTTCCCGCTTCCTCTCATTTAATTTCTTTCTCATTCTTTTCTTCCCCTTGTTTTTCTATCAAAAATAAGAATCAGCGTCTATTTGATTTTGAATTTGTAAGAATAAGCACATGCAAGCAGGAATTAGAAATAAGAAATAAGAAGGAATAGTTACATTGGAGGGGGGAAGCCGCTTTGAGTAGAGCATATATGCACTTGTCGGCTGGTGTATTTGGTGGCCATGGAAGATATGAACGAAGCCAACCATGCAAGACTGGAAGTTACTTTGGCGTGAGTCAAGATAAATTTATTAAATAGAAAAAAAAATCATGGATTGAGTTTTAACCAAATCAAAAGTTCAGAGATTGAGTTACACTAAGTCATAATGAAGAGATTGAATCATAAATGAATTAAAACTTGAAGGATCAAAATATTAATTTTTCCTAACATATACTAACAAGTGTGTATTGTCGTTTTATTTAAGTGGAAAAATGTTACATAGCTATATTATATTGTATGATTGTGTCGTGTGTGATGTGGACAACGGTATATTTAAAGGTAGGGACAGCCAGCATAACTTTGGTCATATAGTACAAGAATGGATTCATCACGAGCAGAGCAAAGTCTTGTTACTTGGAAGTTGAAAAATGCAATTAATAAATTACACACTCCCCATGAAACAATTCTCCCATGCGTATGGACAACCAACAACACATACAACAATAACGATGACTGAATAACTATATAAATCACACGTCATCATCTTGATTTATTTTTACGCTAAGCGTGCTCTTATAATAAATTATTATGTATCACACGTACAAAAGGTGTATTTAATTTACGAAAATTATAAATTAATTATGGTTCTAATTTTCTTTAATTATGTTATAATTACAGCGAATGGATAATTGACTCCTCAAAATTTTAACATGATATCGTAAAAAAAAAAATTTGTCAAAAGATATGTACTAGTAGGCAGATAAAATTTTAAATTATGAAGTTCAGGAGCAGTAAGCTGGAGAGAGAGAAAGAGAGGGGGGAGATGGGGCCAAGAAAAGAGAGGGGGGTCACGAGGGAGACCCAAAGGTGCTGAGAGCCTGAGACTGAGAAGTAAAGAGAAGAATAAGTGTGATGGATGGATGGATGGATGTTGCATTGCGCACTCACTGTCTCGACCGCCCAACACAAATACACATAATACAGACAAGGAAATCAAACTGAAGGCAGCCTGCCTGCGTGCCTGCAAAGAAAGATCTCTTCAATATTCTGCACTCTCATCTCTCTATTCTCATACAATGCCAAAATTCACTGCCTTGATATTCACATTCACACAAATGGTCCTTATTTGAACTCCCTATGCAATCCAAACACCCCTTCCAATATCATCATCATATATCCATCAGTATTTCTAGTTTCAGTCAAGCTGCAGGCCTTCATTTTTTCATCTCTGCTCTTACTTGAACTCTGTAGCTAGCCAGGCCCGCAGATTTGCAAGAGAAACAACGGAAAGAAAGGAACGCCTGGGCGTGGCATGCCCATGCTTACGGTGGAGGAGTAGCTGGCTAGGCTCATATATAGGTAAGTAAGTACAGCTCAGGAGGGATAGACAGAGAAGGAGAAGGAGAATTGAGGGGCGAGGGGGGGAGGCAGAGATGGAACTCCATATCATCAGATTGTGAGATAGGGTCCTCGGGAGCAGCAAGCGCAGATGGAGGGGAGAGAGGACTGGGTCTTACAAGGTCAAGAAAAGGTCTTACAAGGTCAAGAAGAACATGCACGTAGTAGAAATCACATCAAGAAGAGAAAGCTCAGGTAGGATAGCGCCCATGTTTAGAATAATGAAGATGCAGCAAACATATATATTCCTGTTTCACAGCCACCACTGTCACTGTTGCCTGCTTCCTTTTGGATACGCTTCCCGATTCTTAAAGCTTGCCACTTTCTCATTATTCTGCACTTGTACCCACCTGCATAACATGCACCCATCATGCTTTTCTCTTAGGCCACCCAAGCATACACACACACGCATAGTATTAATCATATCCACAGCACTGTTAAAGAATGCAGAAAGATAAACCATCTCATACACTCTTCCGGTCCTAAATATAAGACCTATTTTGTAGTGCAATTTGTATTATAAAATGGGTCGTGTATTTAGAACAGGAGGAGTAGCATATAAACTACTGGTCAAGTCTCATGGCAAAAAGCCTAATAAAATATACACTTGTTTCAAAATGAATCGCAGATCCATACAATTACACAATTTAATTATAAGAAAAGTAAAAAGAGACTGTGACAGAGGGTATGAGATTCTTTCTGGAGCTTGGATTAGTTATACCTTCATGAAATCCGTCCTTCGCTCTCATGCTTGAGACCCTCTGCACTCGGCGTTTAGGAGGCACCGCGAAGAGCTTTTGCTTTCTTGACATGGCGTGCAGGAGGCAAGGGTGAAAATGCAGGGACTTATAAATTGGAGGAGAGGGAAGTGGGCTTTCTTAATGGGCCTCTTTTGATAGTGACATGGCCGGGCCCCATTGTTAGCTCCGAGCGGACCGTGAGGAGCTGAGACCGTGCTGCCCGGCCATATGGGCCCACCAACCCTGGGGTAAATCAATAAAGTAAATGATGAAATCGATGGCGCCGGCCTCTGCCTCGCTGTGTGGCTGGCCCGGTATATAATGTACTATTTGTACAGTAATACTATCTCCGGTCTTAAATATAAGATTTAATTGACTAATTTGAAAAGAAAAGATAAGAAAATAAGTTAAATTAGTTATTTGTGAGAAATAATGTTGTCTTTCTTAAATATATCTACTAATCAAGTGTATTGACTAGAACTATCATTATTAGAATGATTACTTAAAAAAATTACAAATATAAATATAAAAGAAAAAATAGATTGAAATATTATATTTAATATAAAAAAAAATTAATAAGATCTTGTATTAAAGATGAGAGGGAATATATACATCAAAGCGGACGTCAAAATTTTGACCGAAAAATAAGCTATGGAAAATAAAACCGAGCTATGCTTACATTAATAGAGGGCGCCATGGCTGAACAGGTGAGTAAAGCAGAGAGTTGTTTCCGTGGGGCCATCCTCAAAGACGAAGCTTGTAAAGTGGTAGTAACAGACAGTAAGTAAAAGAAAGAAGTAGTGGTGACTGATTTTGAGAATGATGAGGCATGTGATGGGATGAATGGGCATCGCAAGTGGGAGAATATAATGATCAATGGGCTTTAAATTTAATGCATAGAACGGGTTTGGGGAGAAATACGTGTCAGATGTAGCAATGATCAAATTTAAAAACACGACGTTGCTTTGAAGGTGACGAGAGATGTATTCGTTGTAGTAGTGTGGGGGAAGGGGAACGGCACCCCGAAAGAGAGGGAACAGATTTAAAAAGGAGCAAGCGCAGGCAGGCACGGCGCAAAATTGTGTGAGGAGGGAGGACAAAGAATTTAGGTAACCGAGAGGGTGAATAAATTAAGGATTTGGCAAGCAGCGGATGTGTTGAAGGCTGCGATAACATGGCAGTCTCGCAAGTTAAGATGGTCAAACCAAGTTCCTATAAGTCACGGCTGGGCCCGCAGTTTTAATAATGTATCATATTCTGATAGTTTTGGTTGTCTGATTGTCATTAAAGAGTGGTGTTTTAACCATGAGATATAGGGGCAAGAGAAGTTGAGAACTCCCTGTTATCCGTGCTTGGGCGAGCGTCCCCCAGTATGGTGCATGATGATGAGTAAGAGTATACCACAAAACACCCTGAGGAGGCCGATATATATATATATATATATATATATGATATGATAACATCATTGTACAAGAAAATGTGTGAGGGAGGAGCTGGCGGGCGAAGGGTCAAAATAAAGAGGCGCACTTGGGAATGGCAGTCAGGCACACACACGTACGTCTGTAGATACGTAGTAGGGGGTGGAAATCTGGCAATAATTATAAGGTAGGAGGGGGGGGGGAGGTGGCATATTTGTCGGGATTTAGAGGATGGTCCAGGGAATGCTGTGCTGTAAGCGTACACGGGCATGGATGAGTGGATGAATACAAAAGTCAAAGCTGCGTAATGAAGGGGTCAAATACCAAAGTCAGATGCACAGGAAGGAAGGGTCCAGTGAGGATGAGATTTACGGAGGGGAGCAGAGAATATACACTGCAAAAGGGTGGGAGGGAGAGGGCCCTAAATTAAAAACGCAGTGCGGGAGCAGGAGGCACAAGAGGAAGGGAACAAAAGAAAGGAGAAGGGGGGGGAGGATGTCAGGAGGAGGAGGAGAGGGAGTGGAGTGGATGCATGCAACTTTTGAACATGGGCGTTGGGTGGGGCCCACGTCGTCAACATCAATTCCGGGTAAAAAAACACACCCCCACTGCCATTCCCTCCTCTCTCCCCTTTGCACTCTTCAAATACGGCAGCGCAATTATTACTCAACCTCCTCCCTCCCCGCTCCCTATTTTACGCACCCTATCCCCACTCGCTCCCACGCGCTCCCCCTCCCTTCATATTTTCACTTCCTCCTTCAACCCGGCCCGGCAATACCGTCCCTTTTTTATTTTTTGGACCAAACCCGGTAACATCTTCATCCCATGTATAGAGTCTATTTCATTGGTGGGCCCTGGGCCTCTCAAACGACTTACCAGTCCATCCTTATTGACTACAATTGAGCCACGGGGCCAATACTGATAGCCCAGTGTCTTGTGTCCTGGGGATCGGATCCTGGAAACGCGTAGTCTTGCATACCTCCGTTGATCTATCTTGTCTATGGGCTCACATCTCATAATTATGTACATCCATCTTCCGCCTCATGATTCCCCTCCCCTCCCCAGTGATGGATTGGAAATGCGATGACCTTCTTCCGCTCAAATTAATGGAAAGAAAATGTATTATTTATCATCCTATTTTTTTATATAAAACTTGCTTGTAACTTTTATTTTTTTATCTAAATATAAGATTCTAATCTACAGTTTTCTCCTTATTATTGTATATTTCTTTTTTATCATGCACCTCTATGTTAATTGTATATATGAGTTATAGTATCTTATATACTTGATTAGCAAAGATATTTTAAAAAAAACACCATCTTTAACCTAATGTCTTATTATAAAAATAGTACATAACCCAGTTTTGTTTAATCTACTAATGTAGTCACAACTAGCAATTAGTAATTTGATTGTTAAAGGAATAGAATGGAGCCACATGGGGTCAAACCAAATCAATATTGATTGTGCTCCGAACCCAAGAAATGTTTCATGTATGGGTTACCTCTCTCAATCCCCTCTGAATACTCTGGTCCCTTCTGTCCCCTTATTATACGATTCCCCTTCTATAACAGTCGTCCTCTCCCATTTCGCTCCCTTCCACACAGACCAAGGCAGACCCTAAATTATTACTTGTTTACCTCTCTTTTAAATATTAAACAAATTCTTGTGATTTCAACTTTATTCGCATTGAATGGTATTTGTATTATCTCATATAAACATGGTCAACATCAATAATAATATATTAAATGATAAATCTATATTTTACTTTCTAATACAAAAATTCTCTCTCAGATGCCCCTAAAAACTAGGAATATAAAAATAATGTTAGTTCTCTCTGCTTACTTAAAGATATGTTTTTGCTTAGAGATTAGTCTAAGCATTAATTGTACAATAGAATCAATATACTCACCATCAATTTTATAATAATTTACTTGAAAATCGATGAGTATATTTTTATATGAAGACTCAGGAGATCGAACAGTTTCGATTTAAGAAAAACGCTAGATTAGAGGAAAAGTTGCAGAAGTTGGATTAGAGTGTCATAGGAAAAAGGTTCTGGTGTAATAAGATAGAGAAACAAACTTGTAGGTGGGAGAAGGAGGAGGAGACACATATATGAGACGAGCCGCTATTTCAGGAAAACAAGAGCTAGACGGAGGGATGAATAAGACAGCCGACTTCATGACTACGGATGATACTTAACTGATTGAACTTTACGGTGTTATTTAATAGCCCTATTTAATTTGGCTAAAATGGCTATAAATTTAATTAAGGTGTTGTTGGAGTTAGCTCTGATGGCCAGTGTGGAGGGAGAGAGACTCATGAAGACGCGCCTTCTAGAAACCCTAATGAGCAGGAAACATGAAGAAGATATATGGATACACAGGTGTGCACAAAAAGTTCTTGTTAGGATTGACATTTTGCGACGCTTAAGAAGAGGATAGGCAGAATGAACGAACAAGAAAAGGTCCAACACACATGCTTACCTCACATACATACAGTCTTGGGGGTTGGTCACCATTTTAACCACTCGTAGTAATGTTATTCGTAGGCGTCGCCGTTACAACCCAGAAATATTATATTAACTAGACCATCAAAATTCAATAACTATCAGTCATGGACACATTTCAATTCCATCCGCCAGCCAGCGTCAACCGACATTTTAGTCTTCCGCGTCTTTTACTGACACATTCAATTTATCTACTTTCACGTATATCTGTGAGTGTGTTAAACTTATATAATTAACCAGGAAATTTACTGATGTATACGTACATGTGTGAAGATAATCTTGCGCGTTTAACTAATAAGATTGATATATATAACTGCCGAGCATGGTAAACATATATATGTTTAGTTCAAAATTGTGAGAGAGAGAGAGAGAGAGAGATGACGGTGGGTGTTGACCATGAACAACGAATAAAAGAGTAGACAGTTCATGTTCCCATTGATTGGACTGGCGTGAGGTTATCGTAGAGGTTTTGGTTGTTAGAAATGGGTGAAGGTGGTTGGACAGGACCAAAGAAAATTGGCAACTTAGTGTTAAACACAGACTCAACTCGCTCGTGCACAACAATAAATAATTCCCCCCACCTTAGCCTTCCTAATATAAAAAAAGAAATTTAATCATGATATTCACGTCCCAATCAATATTGATTGCGACCCAGTATAACACAGCATTAGATATAGGAAGTCAAGGTCGCTGGTTTTCTATCTTGTCCTTGGTAAATATCTCAAAACCCTAATGGCAACTTTGGAAATCCACCCCATAATTACAACAGTGAATTATTGAGGCTATTATATATAGTTACTTGGAACGAGTAAGAGAAGATGAATGCGATGTTTTCATGAATAGATATCATCTTTGTCAAAGGGTTAGCTGTACAATATAAGCGGAATATCCACGAATGCTTTCGCGTTGAAGGATGCGTTATAAAACCATAAAGTAGCACAATTTATTGATCTTACTCACAGTTGCTCCATTTTCTCTCCGCCTTGCGTAATGGAGGAAAGCCTACCTCCTGGGTTCAGATTCCATCCGACAGATGAAGAGCTCATCACATACTATCTGACAAGGAAGGTGTGTGATACAGGCTTCACATCCAAAGCCATAGCAGTTGTTGATCTCAACAAGAATGAACCTTGGGATCTTCCAGGTATACATATATGTAGTTTTAGATGCCTTTTTATCATAATTACTCATCATCCCAGATCCGCTTCATATGGATATTATATATGAAACAGGAAAAGCATCGATGGGAGAGAAGGAATGGTATTTCTTCAGCGTGAGAGATAGGAAGTACCCGACGGGGCTGAGAACGAACAGGGCGACGGAATCAGGGTACTGGAAAACAACAGGCAAAGACAAAGAGATAATGAGGGAAGGGGCGCTGGTTGGGATGAAGAAGACACTGGTGTTCTACAAGGGTAGAGCTCCCAGGGGTGAGAAAAGCAATTGGGTTATGCATGAATACCGCCTCCACAATAAGCACTCCTTTAGGGCTTCCAAGGTTTCTATCTATCCATCTCCATCATTCTTAATTCATTCCTTATTTAATTTCCTCTCTCTCTCTCTCTCTACATATATATATGTATACTACTATATCTACTTTCTCACATTCTCTCCTGTGCTTGTTTTCTCCCCTTCATCTTCGCTGTATTCATACTATATGATATACATCGCTATCTCACATTCCAGTCATATCAATTTGGTCGCCTGGTTTACATTGAATAATACCGCGGAAATGCACCCCAATAATTTTTTAATTATACTTCAGTCTTTTCTAAATTAAACGCGAAGACACAGACACACACACACGCAAAGAGAATATAGCTTTTGGGATAAGATATGTCTAGCTGGATTTTATTTTATAGCTGATCAAGGTCTTTCAAACTGGAGTTTGTATATACGTGTGTGTGGATCATGGACTACCATCAGCCTTAAGTGATCAAAGCCTTGGCTATTGGGTGGGATCCCCTTGGTGTGTGTGTGTGTGTATAATCAATCTTAGATTATTGCAAGACGACGTTTTATAAGATATGTGCATTTTTTTTTACAAAATTTATTGTTGGATTATAGCTTTTCATAATAGATACATCGGAGTCATACAATTAATTTTACATCATTTAATATTAATTTGGATTATATGAATACATACGTAAAGGTTAATGTATCAGATACGATTTAATTATGAGGGATTGTTAACTATATTCAATTATTCATATCAATCACCATCTGGTTTATTTTCCCCCCCTAAATTTTAGTATATAGGATAACGTGCCAACTATTTATATCTACCGCATTAATTCAAAATGTAAGTCACTTACTATTCTCAAGTATGAGGAACTTTTGTAGTGTATAAACTTGACTATTGCTTATGTTCTATGCATGAATATATAATTACTTGAGGATGATAGGATATATAATAATAAGCTAAGTATGTTTTGTTCGACTGATGAATTAATTTGTTTGTGGTGTTCGTAGGAAGAATGGGTGGTGTGCAGGGTGTTCCAGAAAAGCTCAGCGGCAAAGAAAATACAACAGACGTCATCCTCACAACTATCTCTGGACTCTCCTCCTGATAATACCTCTTTGCTCAATGACTTCCCTGACGTTGACCTCCCAAATTTAAACACCATCGCTCCAAATTCATCAACTGCCTTCACCACCATGTCCTCCGATGATGTCAATACCAATATGAACTTAACCATGAACTGGCCTCCCGCATCTCTTCCATCCCTCCCCTGGCCTTCTGGCTTGCTCAATCCAAACCTTTCTGTGAATTCCTTGCTTCTCAAGGCACTACAGCTTCGCACTTGTCAACAAAGAGAAATTGCTTCTTACATGCCGCCTCACGGAGTTTCTCATCATCAACTAATGGGGACTGATCATCTCCCTCCAAATTTCACACTCGATGCTTCTTCCTCGTCAAAGGTTTTGGAGATGCCGCAGCAACAGCAGCATCAGCAGGAGCAACCGTTCAATCTGGACTCCATTTGGTGAAATTTTAAGGTGCCTAATTGCTTAAAGGATGAAGCTAACATTAATGTGTACGTAAACCTCCCTCCTTGTTAATGTCCACTTAAATGACTCAGCCCCAGTTGTTGTACGTATAGTTCCAGCGAAAATAGGGTACATGCGGTAGTCCACTGTTAGGGAGTAAAATCTCCTCCCTCATTCAGATGCTTTTATATGTTTCAGTGACGACTTTGAAAAAAATCTCAAGAAAAATATCACTTAACCTGTCTGTACAATAAATGCAAGCCTTCTGTTGGATCTCACTGAATATGTGATCTCTTTTTCTCCTCTTCCAGTCATGCAACACGCACGTACGGTCATGTGAAATTATGATTTAGAGTTTTGTTCCTTCGCTTGCGTTCTACCTAATATAATTAATCACTATGTATACTGGGTAACAGTTAAATCCAACAATGTTGCGTAATAATTGTGGATATCGAACTGCTTTTTTCCCAGAGCTGTGCTGAAAGGAAAATGGCAAGTTAAACGGTAAATGGAATCGGTTAACGAACATTACAAGGGGAGCAGATCCAAGGAAATAGATAAACTGAAAACCATTCCAAATTAAGTTGTTCCCAGGGGAGAATACACCAGTTATAAGTAGATGCGCACTTCAACCATCCTCTCAAGCCAAACAAGAAAATTTTAGTGTCGTCTTGCCATGTTTTAGTGAAATGGGGCATTGATCCGAAATTTGGAAGGTGGGAGAGGAACGAGATAGGGGTCGGTGGCTATTGGCTTAGAATGGATTACCTCATGCCAAACATAGGAACAAGGTAACTTAGGAGGTGTTTGGCAATCCCGAAAAATGCTTCTCAAAAGTACGCAAAATGAGACAAACTCCTTTACATATTTACTTCGTAAACCGTAAAAGTACTTTTAAAACTATGATTTAGTTTTCATCCAAACACTCTTTTAGAAATTCTTGATCATCTTTTATTTTCATTTTCGGCCTGCTTTCCTTTATTTTTCCGGTTCAGCATAATCTTAGACGTCGTGCTTTGCTTCATCATTCAGCTTCCCGGCTCAGCTTTATTCTCCGAAATTCCGGTCCAGCTTTCCAATTCTGAAATTGCGAATCAATTTTAGAAATTAAATATATAGTCAGTTTCTTCTTCATCTCTTTCCTCCCTCGCTACTTCTCTCCGCGTCTTCCCCCCTTTCCCCTCCTGGTATTTCATTTTGGAGAGATGGACAGTTTACACATTTGCGGCTACCAAATTTAACTCTTTAATGGAACGTATTCCATTACCATTACAATCTTAATCGAAGCACATTTAGGGCCAAAACCATTCGATTGAATAAAACAAAGAACACAAGGAAACATCATTTATTGGATTTCCTTACAGCGGTGTGAACTCTTACCATTGACCAGAGATTTTACTTTTACATTTATAGTCTACAGTTACTCATAAGCCAACCAGCATACTCAAAGCTAAAAAGAGAGAGCCGCAGAAGATCGAGCGCCATTGGATATGGAATATCCGGGGACCCGCATATGACGATGATGGAATTTTGCTTAGGTCACAGCGATGTGCAAACCGGGGATGATCAGTTCATTGCTGTAAATCCGCCTCCCAATTTCCCTACACATAGGAAAAATGATTGATATAGATAACACAATCTGACTGCATAAAAAACACTGGATCATAATTGCCAGAAGTACTACAGATTTTAAAAGGAAAAGAAGGCTCATCTCCCGGAAGAATTTTTTTACTGTTTTTTTTTTTTTTTTTAACTGGACCGGTTGATCTTAAAAACCTGCTTAACAATAAGTCAAAAATGCGAACAGCCGGTTTTATCAGTTCTAGAAATGGCAAAATTCAGCATCTTTAACAAGAATTTCGCTAGACCACAGGGCACTATATCAGCTATATTGAGGATCAAAGATTGCTTCTTATTTGCTCATGTGGCAACCGCAGAAGACTCGACCAGAAGGTACGAAATCAGTTAATTATCTCCAAGAAACCCGTGGCACGTTGGGTTAAGGCTAACAGTGATGGATCCCTGAGCGGGTTATGGATGAGTAATCCTTGATGACTGATGACCAAAGACTGTGGCTTGGAAGATTTACCTGCAATCTGGGAACCTGGCTCAATTACGGAGGCAGAGGCCTTTGGCGTACCTGGAGGTTTAAACCTTGCACAGAACATGGGATTCCACATGATGACGGAGGTTTAAAGTTTAAACTGACGGGATGATTCCACAAGATGATAGAGGTTTAAAGTTTAAACTGACGGGATGGCTATCATTGAGATGTTAGTATCGCACTTCAATACTCGTTAAAGCCTCAACAACATAGTCTATGCTGTTCGCTTCTGTATGGAAAGTTGGCAAGTTAGGGTTACCCATACCCCTAGGGGAGAGAACAGAACTACAGGTGCTTCAGCTCGTTTGACTGGGGCCAATACTGTATTCTTTACTTTGATGACGCTACTGGAAGTGTGGGAGCTTCTGTAACTGAAGATTCCATTGGACCTTGTACCTACCCTTGTGACCCTCTAAATTGGACTTAGCCCCCATTTTCACTCCCAAAAAAAAAAAAAAAAAAAAAGAAGACGAAGAAGAAGCTCAAGTGTGGCATCAGTAATACGTAATTAACAGAGCTAAGTGGGCCAATCTCTCCTAAATTGCAGCATAAGAAAATATTTGTTACTGACCTACAAATCAAATGATCATATAGAAGTGCCTATACCTAGTTGGTTGCAGTAGACAAGAGATGCCACTAGGGAAGCTTCAATCGATGCACAATAACCTTTCTTCATAGGTATGCATATCGCCTTAAAAGCTTCAAGAATCAGAATTTTCATCATCTTCCCAATCATTGTCTTCCTCATCATCATAATCAACATCATTATAGCCATCAGAATCTTCATCATCACTCTGGAAATAATAATTTAACAAAATCGTTAGCCAAAAATACAATTTAGCAGAATTGACCGTAATCATAATAAATAGTTATTTCTTTCATCATGCCTCCACCCATCCCTCCACCTCCTCCTCTCATACTCAACAATAGGCACTTTTCTATCAGCTACCAGAACTTACCACCAAAGAATACCATGGAAAACTGAACTACTAGCTAGTCTGAGCAGGTTGTATATGCTGGTGATACCATTAAGGAAAAAAATGAAAACAGATGGATGAATTAATTGATAACCCGAGAAGGCATGAGAGGTATCTTACTTGGCTAAATTCTGAGATAGGGTTCATTTGATTATGATCCTCTATACCCCAACTATCTTCAAGCTGATCTTGAGACATGCCCTAATAGTGAAAAGATAAAATTAATACTAATTTATACAGAGACCTTACCCAAAAAAAAAAAAAAAAGCCAAGATGATGAGCTACGCAATCCCAATAATTTACATCACCATCACATTTACATGGATAGATAGAGATTCAAGAAAGATTTAAATGTCAATGTTCCTTTTTATTTTTTTTCGGGGGCAGGGCAAGGGAGGTTGACAATATAGACATTAAGAAATAAAGGCATTTTAATTAACCTTCACAACCTCTGGATGTGAAAAACGAGTCTCAATATTGGAGGCAAAAAGGTTTTCACGCAGGGGTGTTTGATTTAACTTATTTTACATGACACCCAGAAAGAAATATGCAAAACGAAAGACACTTAAGATGGGGAGTTTCACATTCTTTTCAAATGGTTAAGGGTAAATGCAATCAATTATTTCATTTAGAGTCCATGCAATGACATAAGTTATGAGAAGTTGATAACTCACAAGTTCTTTTTTCATTTGCCCTATAGTTTTCTCCAGTTCAGTTATATGCTGACTCAGAGCCTGCGCAGATAAAAAATAATCAAATCTGACATCACAGATATCAAAGAGATAAGTAGAACAATATTTGAAAGTAAAAAAGCTGAAACCTCATGGCGTTGCATGGCTACAGAACGTTTCAATGCCTTTGCTTTTGTTAGGAGGTTTCTAGGCCTCAAACTGATCGGCCGCCTATAATTCTTTCCACGATAGTAGATAATGGCATATCCTTTGGGAACTCTTTCTATTGCTACAAGTATTCCACCACTTTCATATTCCAGCAACCTAGCTGTGTCTTCAACAAAAGCAAGGGTCTTTTGTTTGGTAATCAATTTTACAAGTTCTCGATGCTTCCAATGCAAGTGCATATTCTCAATGACACCATCAAAGACACCACGTATACCTGGAGATGTTTGTAATAGAATGTTAGTACTGAATTGATGCGATATAGCAACTTTCATCTGGCTAAAATTACCCACCAAGTGGCAAGTACGGTTTCATTCTTAGACCAACCCGGCGAAACATCACACACTCTTCATCTGTGATTGTTTCCTGGTCATAATCAGGACCAGCTGGAACCATGGATGCTTCAATCTTAGCTAACAGCCTTTCTGCTCTAACCTTTTTCACCTGAGCCTGTTCAAACATTTAGAGTGGTGGATATATATATCAAGAGAGCAAATAAAAACTCGTGCAAAAGACACAAAATAATGCTACATCTGCATCAATCAAGTGATCACTATATTGCAAAATTTTAAAAGATTTATGTACAAAAATCAAGTTCACACCTAAACCGATTAATCAAGGCAATAGGTCCTAAGAAATCATAAAAAATTTCTTATGTTAACCTCAATCTTCAAAGTTCAGATACATAAACAAACACTGTAATAAGTAATTAGACATATGTTAATCTCGATGTTCAGATAGATACGTACAATATTTAGTTTATGTTCAATTTGTTTGACAAGCCTAACACTCTTGGCTTTTGCGGCTTCTTCCATCATCTTCTCACGTTCTTCAGTAGATATTTCCCTTCCCCAGCGTGCCTGAGCTTCGTAAAACTCAGCCAATGATCCTGCTTGTGCTGTTGATGTTGAAGGAGTTGTATCAACAGCTTCAGAACGCATTTTCTCTTCAACATCTTGTACCTGTTTTGCTAATTCTGCTCTTTCAGCCAAAACGGCAGCAACACTTGTTGGAACAAAGTCCTTCCCCCGATACATTACTATGTAATATTTATTCCTTAGCAGCAGAGTACCTCCTGTTAATTTCTGGACCACGAAAGGGGAAAAAACATCTTTCTTATATTAGAACTAATGATTCTTTTCCGTTCTTAGTATATCATGCATACACAGAAAAGGCGCCCCATTGGTTCACGTAAACAAAATTGTTTGTGTCACATTATGAAGATGATATCATTATATAGTGAGTAGCAATATCTTCGATATAATAGTGGTTCATCATCAAAATTACAAAAATGATGATCCATTTTGCTGGCGTATGTGGTGATTGGAACATGGAGAAGACAGATTAATTTTTCAAATCACAGCAGCCTTTTTCTTTCCTTTGATCATTTTCCAGTCAACAAGATTAATGGAACAACAATTGAATCGTTTTAAGTTGCTGCATTGACACATTTTTCCTATAATGCACATCAAGTCAACACTTTGTACTTTGCCCAAAATGCAATGCCTCTGGCTTGATTCAACAGGAGATTGCATAGAACAAACCTTTAGCTCATCAGCCATCAGCTTATTGTTGGTATTCTGTATACCTCGTTTGACAGCAATCTTTGCAACTAAGCTTTTTTCCCAAAGCTTAAGAATAGCACATGCCAAACCTTGATGATTTCTATTTCTCCCTTTTAAGAAGGACAACAATAGATTTGCATCAGGAACAGAGAAATAAACGAAACAAGATAATGCAGGAGATGAGACTTACCTAAGGCAAAATGACAAGGAAGTGATTTGGCAACTTTCCTTAAATTGGTCATCTCTGCATTGGTTAGTCGAGAACGCATTCCAGTAGGAAGAAGCCTAAAGGGTGTTTTATAACCAGGAACTGTAGGAGGTAGTAAATCAGCATCAACGGGAAGTATTCCTGTGCCCCACCATTCAACAAAACGAGGACCTAAACCATCAAGCAGGCCGTTATATTCTGCTTCCTCCTCTGTCATGTTTTCCGCTTGTTTATGATTCCTCACAACTGGCTCACTCTTTTCCTCGGACGATGTTGCATTGCTGTCCTTTGTTGGTGACAGATTGCCTGTGGAAATATTTGGCACAAAAAGGTCTTCAACATCCCTTCCATTAGGTTGGCTCCTAGATGTAGGTCCCTCATAATGACTACCACGATACACCATCATGACACTTCCAGACCTCCAGATGACTAATCCTCCCGTTCGACGCTGGTCGATACTATTAAAAGTTAGTTCATACGTTCTACAACACACCAAAGGTAATTATTGTACAGGTGGACTACCGCACAAAGTCACTGGAACGAAAATTTACAATGCAGCTAACTAAACTGATGAAAACGTAGAGCAGGGCGAAGTATTAATAATTTCATATCAACTGAAGAAATAAGTTCAAGTAAACCAACAAACCTCAACAATCTCATGAGCCGTCTTCATATCCCGAGCAAGTACCTCATGAAACTTGAGCCTCACTAACTCCTCCTTCCTCCACTTCTCATGAATCTTCTCCAGCACAGCCTGCGTAATCCCAGCTTTTGGCACGCTGATTCTCTCTCTAATGTTCATTCCTATTCTTCTCAGTCGCCTCAGCTCCTCGTCCTCAAGAGTTAGCTCCGCCAAAGTTGGTGCCTTTATCCTCCTTTTCTTCAGCCCCCCCTCTCCGTCTTCTGCTGTATCCTTCTCCTCACCTCTCTCCCACGGCAAGACCGTCTCATCATGTTGATCCTCAGCCAATATAGCATCTGGTCGAACCCACTCTCGCCTCAACAAGTCACTCAGTCTCTCCTCTCCAGTGAGTGGCAATTCATCCCTGCCTCCGGCTGCCATTTGCTCTTCCTCCTCCTCCTCATCTGATCCTATTCCTAAATTCCGCAGTCGAAGAACGATTCTCTCAATCGCATTCTGCCCTTTATCCTTGTCAAAAAAGCGAGTCTCAACTTGATCAACCGTCTCTTCAGCATTAAGTTCAGCAACTTTTCTGTTGTCTTTTCGGTTCGGTAATTCGGTTGGAGGCTTAGATGAGGGCCATTTGGTGATCCATGGGGCAGCTGGGGACTTTGATTTTGGGGAGTGTTTGGGGTCACGTGCGTCTCGAGACGAAGAATAGCTTCCGCCACTGTGCTCTGTAGTTCGGAGGGAGGAGGAAGGCCTGAGAATGCGAAATGATAATTTGGAATGACAGAAGGAAGCGCAGCTGTGAGCGGAGGAGCGATATGTGAGTGGGAGTGATGTCTTGAGAGGAAATTCTGAGAGTTTAGTACCAGTGAGCGCCATTTTCAATTGAAAAGAGTTAAATTTGTGTAGAATTTGCTCCATGAATATCTTCGCCCATTATTTGGATGCCGAGCAAGTTACAGGGCCGCAGGCCGCAGCAGCGGGACGAAGACGATAAGATGTTTTTATTTTTCCTTTTTAGGATACTCTATCCCTTTAAAACTGGCTCCTTTCTTATTTTTAAAAAAAAATTCTAAAAACCTTCACTTTATTATTATCAGCTTTGAAAAGTATAGCTTGCTTAGATTTTTTTTTTTGGTTGAGATGAAAGTATGTGTAATGTAACCTAATATAATTTTTATTGATGTATATCTATTAATAGTCCAAAATTAAATAGCAATAAAATTTGCATCTATGACGTATAATATTGCATAAATTTTATAGTATTATTTTTCTGCCTTGAAATTTTTTTAAAGTTTTTTAAATATTTAGTTAGACAATTATACTGATTCAAATCAAATTTAAAGTGAAAATTTAATCTTCAAATACAAAACTTGGTCTCTTTTTAATATTTAGTTAGACAATTTTACCGATTCAAATTAAATTGAAAGTAAAAATTTAATCTTCAATTTCAAAACTTGGTCTCTTTTTAATTTAGTTGTAAAGTCTGGTAAAAAAAAAAACTAATAAATATGTTTATGCTAATTGTGAAGAGTAGCAGTTCAATCCAATGATGCGGCAACCCGGTACAGCAACACGTTGTTATGCCGGCAATGTTGTAAGAAGCGTTTTCATGGCTTGCGAACAAAATACAAAACAGCTTGGGGAAGTAAAATAGAATCTCAAAAGGGCAGAGAGCGACAGAGACCAGGTCATTCCATTGATAATGATACTAAAATCAATTCATTTTCATTTATTTCTTGAAAAACAGATGAAATAACCATGTACAATTAACTGCTATATGAGATGCAAGCATAAGACTTGCTTGCTAGCCTGAGAAGCATGGAAAAAAAAAATGTCTCAGTTGATCCAGCCAAGAATTATCTAAGACTAGAGGATCTTTTGCTGAAGGTGGAGGAAGAACTACTATTACTGATCTCCACACCCAGCTCCTTTATTTTGCTCAGAAGAACCATTTGTTCTGTCTCCAGCTGCACTATATACCCTTTCTGTATATCCTCCAGACTTTCAAGCTCACTCAAACATGTCGACAGTTCTTGGAGATTCCCATCCTCTATCAAATCTCGAAACTTGATTATCATCTGTTTTATCTGACATAATCCCAATTCAAAATAATGGCATGAAAAGGAAATGAGAATAATGGTGACATATTTTCTTCTTCCAAGACAACAGAAACAATCTCACCTGAGCAGGAATTTGGTGTAGTTTACTCAAGGAAGGGGCAGAGTCCAAAGAAGGTCTCTTGTGCAATTCTGGCACTTTTCTGGTGATTCGAATGTGGATCTCACCCCTTTTAACGCCTTGCAGAGGTATCCATTTGTCGGCCATCTGGTTTGGAGGCAATCTCTGATAGTCCACCACACATTCACCCAGACTCTGTGTCGGAAGCAAGGAATTATGGTCCTTCACATACAGTACCAGCCGACTCCCGTCATCCGGGAACTCTAACGTCTGGTTCCATTGAGGATTCAGGGTTTTGTGTATAACCTACCAAACAACATGCAATGCACACCACACATGAAATTCTGAGCCAATCAGGAGCATCGTGACACATGGACAAGAAAACATAGTAACAACACTTGTCAACTGCAAACATATTACTTATGTTTTCCTTGTTTTCATACTAACTCGAATTTACAAAATTGCAGTCAACTTCACTTCTTTACAGATGCGAGATTGCAACCTTGCGGGGGAAGCCTCTTATCACTGGTGACTTCAACCGTTGTCAGTACTTAACTCACAAATATCAGTTTATATAAAACTAAAATACCACTAAAATTCCGACATGCAAGTCCCCGGAAAACATAAGTGAAACCTGGAAAGAAGACATGAAGTATTATAACCTTGGTCTTTTTCTTCAACTGTCCGTAGTTCACCCTCACATATGGGTCACTCGTCCCTCTGAGATCGGCACCAATTAGATCCCTTGCTTCCAACAAATCAAGTTCAATCCAACCATTCTCTGAATCCAGGTCTGAACCCTAGCCATTTCAAAGGAGCTAAGCATGACAGAATGGATATGCAGAGGTGAAAATCAAGCTTAGTTAAATAACCGGACCAATAATATATATGTATATAGAGGGAGGGTGGGAGGGAGAGAGGAAAAGAATGAAACAGCCCTGTCTTGCTTAATCTTTTATACATTTTCATCAGTGAACGAAGAATTAGAAAATTTCCCATTGGAAACACATACCTTTGTGCCTTTATTATCATCCACCATAACCGATAATTGAAGTCTTATTTCCCCAGAATTCACTCTTTCAAGAGGGATCCACACATCCCTAATCTTCCGTTCCACCAATCCTTCCAAACTGACAATAGCACTGCCAATGTTTTCATCTCCAAAAATTTCATCACTGAAGCACTTTAATCTCAGGTGTTCGCCCCCGCTAATCTCATCAAACTCGAACTTATGATTCCAGAAAGGACTTGAGGTGTGAGAAGTCCTTGTTCTTTGGACATTCTGTAAAAATGTTTTACAGCAGAATCAGATAAAGCATAATTACGCGCGGACATTTAGCACTGATATAGAGACCTCAGTTCAACAATTAATGGCACCATGCAGTCAGAACCTCAAATAGAATTAGTGTGACCCACCTTTCCATACTGCAATTTAATGTAGGGTTCAAACTTTCCAGATTTGTCTTTCGCAGAAAGATTCTTTCCTTCTACGACTGTTATGTTAAGTTTCCTTCCAGTTCTTGGCAGAAGTGGTGATGACCCATTAAGTGAATGCTGAGAGTTAAGACGGAAGTTGTTCAAGCTATGTGAACCATCAGAGAATTGCCACTCTTTCACTACAATTCTCACCTTCAACTACAAAATGAAATGAAGAGGTAAAATTCATAAATTTCTGCGCAAGGCCAATGCAGTCGCTAGCATTGATCCCAAGAGACTCAATATGAAACTCCCCCGGGTTCAATTGATTTAAATTTAATGCCATATAAACTGTTTTGGCTTGAAGATAACCAATGCGCTTGAGGTTGAAATCATGTTTCTTTTGCCTAGTGTACGCAATCTGATTCTAGCTTGTAACTAGTAACAATTGCTGCCAATAATTGAAGATAATCATCTCTCAACCATAAAGTAAAAATTGTTGTCCTGGTGGGGCAGGGGGCCTCTGATTCATACATGACCTTAAATATTGTGCCTCCCTTTTAAGTTAGGGAAATTTAATTATAACAAGATGAGCATAAACATTGTACCTCTCCGGAGTTGACCCCCTCGAATGGAACGGCCACTTCAACTTCTTCTCCAGAACACTCTGCATGCTTTGCTATGATACCAGAGTCAGGTCCTATTGCCCAAATTACCGTTGAATCATCTTCGACATGCCTCATCTTCTCAAAGATCCAAACATAAAGTTAGCCAAAGCATTTTCTACCGAGAGAAAAGGCTAGGGAAAAAGAAACTGCTCGTATGACATGAATAATAATATTATTAATCAGTAACTGATGCCTTATATTGCTTATAAGTCATCATCCTGCTGCTAGTTCAGAAAGGAGAACATTAAAGACAGTACCTTGATTTCACAAGTGCCCAAATAGTCATACTTGACACTGTTAGGAGGACACTCGTAAAGATTAAAACGAAGAGTTCCTGTACTATCATGTAAAACCATATTAAATGCTGCGTCCCATCTAGGAGTTGAACCCAGTCTGACATCTGTTCTCCTCGTTAGTTCCTCAAGTTCTACCTCCACAAATGTTTGTAGGTCTTTTTCATCCGACTTGGCATCCAAAGGGCCATTGCTTGAACCATCTTGTTGCCTTCCCTTGAAGCAACTCCTGGAAAGTTTATTTGCCGAAATCACTGTAACATGTACAATGCCTCCAACTGCCTTTCTCCTAAAATCTACAACAGGCAAATACAAACATCGGCGGCGAGGTTCTACCATTGTTTTGAATATGGTTTCAGTAAAAAGTTTCACCTGTATTTTGAAGAAGTAGTAATAATATTAGCTTGAAACATTAGATTCATACCACAATAACCATATATCATACACAATCCTGATATATCGATATTCAAATTTTTTGTCTTCACGTTTTCAGCAATAGGTTCATAATAAACTTCCACTGCATTGTCACATGTATAAAAGGAAATATGTCGACGAACTTAGGCATCAGTCTGAAATCAATTGACATCCAGAATCAGCTTTGATGTCTATAATGTAAATTTTTCCCCTCCAAGTTGCAGCATAAATATAAGATGGTCTAGGCACTCGAGATAAACAAACGCAATTTTGTTAAATCCCATGAACGTAAGAAAAATAAGTAGTAAAGGAACACACCAGCCAAGAAGAAACACCAGGCAACACAGTGGCAGGAAGTGATTGGCTTCCACCGCTTCCAAAGGCAACTCCTATTCTCACCTCAGGAGTTGACGCAAATGAATATAAAAGTGCTTTACCATCTAGAATTGGTATAAAAAGAAGCTGACAGATCAACATAGAAAACAGATTAAGACCAACAAAAACGCCAAAGCGGCTAGTTTTCATCTGCTTCAGAAATCAATATAAATTGCTCAGTATTTTTTTGACAGCATTTATATGTTTTTGTTTTGTCAGTAAAGCTAAAGCATAACATTTTTAAGAGAACGAAAACGATGCCGGTAACATACATCACCCTTAATATGAAGACTGTTAATCACAATCCGGGTAGTTCCCATTAATGGCTTTGCAAGCTTGACCAGCATCAAAATACTCATTTCATTTGTGTCCCAATCAAGACCCATTTGCATTACTCGCTGCCACATACCAACGGAACGCTTATTGAAACCTCATATATCTGGTCATATATCATTAGATTTTATACTTGAAAGAAAACTTAATCACATAGAAAAAAGATAGGGCAGCAAAGAAATGTGATAGATGTAGTCTTTTAGTTGACCTAATTAACTAATTTGAATAAATTAACTAATTTGAATAAATTAACAATGTTAGTTACATTACTTAAGATGATATGTTTTTTCTAAAACACCCTAATCATCTTCCTTAATTTCTTCTCCCTCTCTTACTTGATTATTGTTGAGAGAATATTCATAGGGTTAATTTAAAAAAAAACTGATAAACTCATAAACATGTAAAATAGGTCTTATATATAGAACTAATATCAACCCTTAAATTAGATCCTATATTAAAGGGGTGTTTAGGTAAAAACCAAATCATAGTTTTAAAAATGATTTTACAATATACAAAGTAAGTATTTAAAGGAAACTTTTGTCTCGACTTATGTAAAAGCTGTTAAAATCCAAACACCCCTGGTAAAGTGGCATTAACGGCTGTATCAGAGATGCATTGATAAGCAGTAGCGTCGTCTTTTCAAATTGTCTAATGGGCCAAAAGGGCAGCTCAAATGTGTTTAAACATGATATCTTGAATGAGATACCTGAAATCATCATATTTTAATATTTCATCTGTAACTTTTGGCCCAAAAAAAATCATATTTTAGTTGTCCTCCAGCGGCACCCTTGTTTTTAAACTATCATCGTGGGAACTAAATATGAACGTAAAACAGAAACCTTTACAGAGTTGACGGCAACATAGAGGCCACACAAAACCTTGGAGAGATACTAGTCGATTGTGGTCGTGGCGGTGGTCGAAGGAAATTCAAACCGTGAATGTCACATAAAAACAACATTAAATATTGGAGATTTGGACCGAATTCTTTTTCCCACTCCCATGTTTAGAAATAATCGACGGAAAGAACCCCGAAAAAAGAAGAAGAAAAGAATAATCACGAGATACGGAAGCAACGAGTTGGTGTGTGTGTGTGTTAAAACGACATATAAAAAACTGATTAAGACGTTATTATATTCAAGTAAATCTGAATGTGAGACAAAAGAGAACCTGGTCTCCAGAAGTTGACCATCGGATCCCCTGAAGACCCAAGCTAGGAGGGCATGTACCAAGTGAAAACTCCTGTAGCTCAAATCTTTCCTACAAGATAAGAGTGCTTTTTGTTCAGTACAATTCATTAAAATTTTCAATCATTTCGATAAAAACTTGATGAATTCTTCCAAATACTGAGCATACTCACTATAAGTCCTGGTTTTCGGAGCTTTAAGCGTTTCTAGACTCAAAAAGAGAGGAAAGGTTAGTTCATCGTCCAAGTGCATAGAACATGATAGGAGATTCTCGTCATATAAGTATAACGTAAATAAGAGTCAAGATTAAGCATTCCATCCACTCTTTCAGGTTTCAACTTCATTAATTTTACTACCTAAAAACCATAGGGAAAACACGCAGAAACTGTGCTTTTGAGGAGGCATGCAGCCTAGCATATCATTCTAAATCTTTTTGTTCTCATCTGCGAGGCCAATAGTAAAATCCTGTTCCTGCACTTACCTTTTTCTAATTTAGAACCCATTTCCCATTAAAAAAAGAAAAAGAAAAATAGTGTAAAGGCTATTCATGCAAAGCCCAGTCAAGTTAAGGAATATGCAGAAGCAATCTAACCTCAGAGTTTCAGGGCAAACAGAATATGATATGCGACTATAAGCAGATCTAATGAAACTCTCCAGACATTTGCTCATACACAGCAGAAACAGCTCAAACATAAAACCGCCACTTCTAAAGTGGTCTGATTTGCCCATGGATAGAAGAAAAAATTGTGATTCACCGAGAACATGAAGAAAGCTTACTAGCAATACGATAAAAAAGAGAGAAACAACAGGGAAATATCACCTCGAATATAGCTGATAACCTTCTCGAAAGCTTTGGGTTGTAATAGTTGAACCAAACTTCAGTCAACAGCTTATTCAACCACTCACAGGGCTCCAATGGCGTGATGGGCTATAAGTGCAGGAAGTTGAATTCATCTTGACAATGCTCTCTGGCAGTTTAAAATAAAGACAAGAGAAGGGAGAAGTTACCAATGTATTCAGCGCAACTCGCTTCCATTTACTATTCAGTTCCTCCACAAGTAGTTTGCATTGGTAAATCCCATACTGCAAACAAAGAGATCAGTACCTCCCCTGATGAGAAATGAGGAACAGAACACAAAATAAAGGGAAACAAGGCCCAAGGTCCATCCTTTCACATGTGAACAAATATTTATAACCTTCAAAACAGGAAAAGAGAGAAGAGGGAGTGGAAATGTGAAATGAGAGGAACAACACCTGTCTGGTCGCCCATACAGCAAGAGCTAGCGGAATCCAGCTGGCTAAAGAGAAAAGCCACCTCTCAATGGCCCAAACAATCAAAATCAGAGGAATAAACAATAGAACCCGGGGCTTCTCCTCCACGATATGTTTCAGGAAGTCTTCAGCCGCCCTCTCAAGACTGAGAAGGAACCTTTTTCTCCTACTCTGCCTTTTCTTTCTACTCATGACAGGAAACTACTCTGAAAGCATGAAGGAAATAAAAGATCTTTTTCGTCTCCTTGTCCTCTTTCTCTGGGTTGTTCCCATTGTCAGCATTTGCCATTCATGATACCGGGAGCGAAGCAAACAAAAACCCTATGAAAATTACGGGAAAAGGGGCTGCCAAGTGAAATTATAATCAAAAGAATGGATATTCCTCGGGCGAGAAACCTTGGAAGGGCGAGCCAGAACCTAGAAGGAGGTGAGAAAACGGGGAACATCGCATCTTGGGTTGAAGGAAGAACTGAAGAAGAGAGATGGAAATGGAAAAAAACTGTCAGCGCTAAACGACGTCATAAATTTGCATTGGCATTAACGATCACATCAGGATGCAAATTCCCGCGTGGCGCTGTACGGACAATCTTCAGAGACTGAGAGGACAACCGAATTATAAAAAAACGCGGGGCTTTTTACGTTTCGATTTGAGGTCCCACCTCCTCCTGATGAAGTCGAGGGTTCTGATTACATGGCATGAGCATACTTACGATTGTTGTGATAGGAATAGACGTACTAACATAACTGGGACCCACATACCTGCGACCTAGACCAATACGAGGAATGTGCTGAATCTCAACTACTTTTGTCTGAACAATGACCTGACAAGGCCACTCACGGATGCTAGAAACAAATTTACAAATCATCACAAAACCAAAAAAAAAAAAAACGAATGACAAATCAACAGGAGGAAAGCGGCTTTAAATTGCTCCGGGGTATTTTTTTTTAAAAAAAAGCGTCAATTCAGACCCCTTTTATTCTTATCCTACAAGCTACACGCATATATATATACTCCCTCGGTTCCTTATTATAAGAGACATTTGATGCTTATGGCATATTCCTATATATAAGAGACACTTAAAAGTTGTTTCTATTTTGTTGTGTTGATTTCCTATTTTACTCATATTTATTGTCTCCAACTCACACTCTCTCTCCTTCTCACTTCTCTTTCTTTGAATAATTTACTATTGTTCTCTCTCATGCTTTTTCTCCTTATTAATGAGGGCCTTTTTAGAAAAAAAAACTATATCTTTTACACATTAATTGTTCTTAACTAATTTTAACTGTTTTTTTTATCAACGTAATTCGGTTATTTGTCTCTTATAATAAGGAACAGAGGGAGTATTATATAAAATTCTTGTACTACCTCCGATCTTAATTATAAGAGCTAATTGACTAATTTGGAGATATTAAAGAAATAAGTTATGTTAGTTATTTATAATAAATAGGTATTGTCTTTCCTAAAATATCCTTACTAATCAAATTTATTGGCTAGAACTATTATTATTAGAGAAACTATCTTGAAAAAAATGCATAAATATGAGAAACAAAATAGATTAGAGTCTTATAATTAGGACAAAAATAAAAGTCAAACGAGACCTTATATTAAAGACCGGAGGTAGTATTAATTTTTGTCACTTCCGTGGTGATGACATGGCAAATTAATGACGATTGACAGGTGGAATTATTAATGTTAAAATTGTATTCAATACTTTGGTTAATGGCTTGGATCCCATTAAGGCTCTGTTTGGATGCTCCAAAACCGTGGTTTCAGAAGCACTTTTCCGCAAAACGAGATAACCTCTTCCACATATTTACTTCGTAATCCGTAAAAGCACTTCTGAAACCATGGTTTTATTTTTATCCAAACACTCCCTAAATGACAAAGTAAACTACATAATTAAGTTATGGTATTCAATTTAAACATTTTACAAGAGATCTCAACAGTGATCATATTTAGAAAGTGTTTGGCAACTCTCGAAGCACTTTTATACAAAACGAGACAAACTCTTTCACATATTTACTTCATAAATTGTAAAAGCACTTTTAAAACACGTGATTTGGTTTCCATCCAAACACTCCCTGAACTAAAAAGACATTTTTATAGTTGACCACTTCTATTACTCCTTTGAGATTTAGTTGTCATTTTTTCTGCGCGAAGGGCAATTTTATACTCCTCCGGTCTTAATTATAAGACCCAATTGACTTATTTGAGGAGATTAAGGAAGTAAGTTAAGTTGGTTATTTATAATAAATAAGTGTTGTCATTCCTAAAATATCCTTGCTAATTAAGTATATTGGCTAAAACTATCATTATTAGAAGGATTATCTTGGAAAAAAATGTATAAATATAAGAGAAAAAATGGATTGGGTCTTATAATTAGGACCAAATAAAAAGTCAAATTGGGTCTTATAATAAGGACCGGAGGAGTATAGTCATAGCTTCACCATCGGCGCATGGGGCAACGCTACACAACCATACGTATGTATGTACAGAATTTGACAGAATTTCAAGCACATGGACATTACTTCCTCTTCTTGTCGTCTTTATCTCTTTCAAGCACAAAGGGAGCCGCGGGTATACTGAACCACCATTCTCTGAGTCTCCTGGACAATCTCTCCGTGGTGGCTTTTCTCGGAGGTGAGTACCTTGTGAATATCTCCAAAAACACAATTAGGACTAAGTATTTACTGGGTAATACAGCCAAAACCAAGGATGTTGCTACAAGAGCAAGGGCAAACTTCTGCGTCGCCTGATGATCAAATAAGAGAGACCATGAATTACATTTCACATTTACTACAACTACCTTAAATGCAAATTGCCAACAAGAGGACATGAGAAAAGAACCTGAGGGAAAATGGAGAGAAACAAGCCACGTAACTTGAGCAAAATGATGTTACCATCCTGTATGAACTGTTCGGCATGAGTGACAGCATTCTGAACAGCCAGAAGCTGCTCCATTGTATTCATCGGCGGAGGAGCTACTACTTTAACTTCTTCCACAGGCCTGCCTTGGCTAAAATATCGTGTCATTATCATAAAAGCTGAAAGGAACAGGAGCACCAGTGCCACTGCATACCGAAGCCATCCCCTGCAATTCAGGCCATCTAATATTTATTATCAAATGAAGGATAGCCAATGAATTCATATTCGTCATTCTTTCCAGTGAACCCTTTTCTCGAATTTGTCAGTTTTATGGGCATCCAAACAGATTAGTACCTGCTGATAATACAGTACAATCCTAATAATCATATTAACGGATTTCAAAATAGATTGAGAGAACACTATCCACAATAACAAGCTATCTTTGAACCTGGTCATCTCCTAAGCCACATCCACTTGCTTAACGATGGAAAAAGCCCAAATTGGTGACTTGTACTCCAATTGCAAAAGACAATTTTAAGGGCAAAAGGAATATCAACAAGGCAGGGATGGTTTATAAAGGAACTGTGTACTGAGATAACACAATAAGATTCAAGATTAAATTATTAGGTAATTTTTAATTGATCAACAATAGACTATCGTTTTCTCATCTTAACAATTTGGATTAAAAATATGCCTCTCAAGACGAGCCCAAATGAAACCACTGAACCTTTATATCTTAAGCTGCATTCCGGATAAACATTCTCAGACGCCCCATGCTTATTGAGTTCTACTGAATCCTTTTCCCATCGCAATAGCACCCATAGCTCAGATTATAAAGATTTTAGTTTATACATGTAAAGTCACACTCCCCAGAAATCATTTTTCCAATCACTGCTACACACACACACACACACACACACAAAACAACAAATCTAACTATATATATATATAAACTCTCACATGTCTTGAAAGATAATAGGTTAGCAGCAAAGTAATCACTTTGGAAGTTTTACCTGCAGATGATATAAATGAAGACTAGACAGAATCCTAGAGACTTCCATGGATCATCCCAATATGCTAAAGATTTAAGAAACTTCCCGAGTTCATTTATGGGAAAAAGTAACTCCTGCAAGTAGTGAATAACTAGCGGGGGTCAAAAAAGATGATTTCAGGGAACTGTGCCCTAATCTTTAGTTCCGTGCCTCACACCAGTTAAATCTAGTTTTATCAAAGACGTGTTGTTTAGAAATGAGAAGCAATGTATGTATAAGGAGTAAGATAAATACTACCTTCAAGACAGCCAAGTTAGTGTCAATACCATCAACTTTAACTCCATCGACTGTTGCCTTGGCAGATTCTACCTTTTTGTAGTTGTTCTTTGATTCTTTAACTTCTCTTTCCAATGAAGTCATTTCTCCAACAGATATCTCGCCCACAGCAAGCCTGCTTTCTTCGGATGTATTTGCGCTTGTACCAAAAACAAATCCCAAGTTAGGAACCATGTCTAAGGCTGAGATGGAATTCATTCCACTTCCAGCCCTAGAATCATTGGCGCAATCTATATCCCTTAAGTTTGACATATTTGCAAGGGATTCTAGTATCAGGTCTCCGCCTGGAAGTTGATCACAAAGATTGAACATCAGAAGAGCCTTGAACTCTTTAGTGATTACAGAACTAATATCTTGAATGGCTTGTACACGCAAAACTCCTAAAACAGCCTTCAAAAGTACTTCATCACGAGCAACTCCTTTGATTTTATATTTGTTTATAAATTTATGAACAAACAGAATCTCCTGTATGATAGCTAGCCAATAATCACGACGAGCATGACCTTTAAACTCTGGAAATTCCATAACAACTGGTTCTGATCTACAAGAGAAACATTTTTGAAAGTTAATACCACCACAATCAACAAAAAGAGATAAAAACACAGATATCCTGATGTGAAGTAAGCAATAACATATGACATGTTAGCTCCACAAATAATTGTACTTTTACTCACAATGATGCTGAGTTATAGAAGACTGCCTTATCAAAAAGTCGAGTACCCAATGGCCCAGTCATCTCAGGTTTAATGACCTGTCTCAGATCATCTGCTAAATCATATTTCTTTGGTTTGTCATATTTTACAACATGAAGCGCTTCAAAATAAAGCGCATGGTCTGTCAGGATTAGCCGGCCTGCATGCACATGAAGACAAACAATCACTAAAACTTTAACAACAGCATGCATGCTCCGAATTCATCTACACAAATAGAGTCTGGAAGAGCATATTCATAGGACATACGGCATCAGAAAATATTTGTCAAAGCAACTCACCAGGCCATGCTGATAATCCTACATGTTCAAGGACTGGTTGCGTGGTGACCGTTCCATCTACCTCCAGAATCTTCTCACCTCTAGATGATCGAAGAGCAGAGAGAAGAGATGAGTCTGAATTGCTCCTCATTTTTCTTATTGCTCTGTAAAGATAGTACCCTTATTAAAAGAATTCTAAGATGCAGTAAAAAGAGAAAAACTAGAATCCTCTAACTTGTGGAAAATGCACAGATTGTTGCCGCATAAAAGAAATACAAAAGTAAGATAAGGCAACGGTCCCAAGTTTTAACCTTTCTAGACAACTTAAGTACTTGTCATAGACGGAGAACTTAAGGCGTCCACCAGTAGATGCACTAAGCACCTCAAAAATATTTTCACTTATGACGACATTAGCAATGATTGGAACTGCAGGAGCTATTCGACAGAAAGCTTCTAAACCAACTGATAAGTCCTCATCCACCTTCAAGAAAATTTGAGGCTCAACATTATCAACAAGACCAGAATATTAAAGACACCACAAAAAGCTAGAACATATGTCATACATGGTTTATACAAATCAGGAAGGAATGACTTTAAGATAAGTTGTACGTATTTGACAAATGGCCTAACCCTATGATGCTCATATATGAAGTGTCATGTTTTGGAACTAACAAAAATTTTGGCCAAAAATATTTTTGGGAATGAAATGGGGATACAGAGATTAGTGTGCAGTGCAAGAAGCCAATACAAAAAAGCAGCAAAAAATTATGGTCTTCCTTAGGCTAAAATAAAGTAGGTTAACCCAAACCATGTTCAGAGAATAATAAAGATTATTTTCTATTATGATTAACATTCAACAATTGATATCAAGAGCAATAACTGGGATGGACGAAAGAAACATTAAAAAATTCCAGTGATGCATACCGGACACCACAATGCCTGCACACATGCATATAAGCATTAGATAAGACAAGATTCTACATGTAGTTCCAAAACTTCTCCAGCTTACGGTGTCATATTTGCAAGACTTGAAGAAAAATCACACTTGTTCTTCAGGAAAACATACATTAAGTAAAGGTTGGCTGCCAGCATCTGGCGTCTCCCAGGCTATCATCATGTCATATGTTAAGCGCCGGAATATTTTATCAGACAGATGACCAATCGCTTGCGTAGACAGAGCAAGTGCCCTAAAACAGCAATATTCCAAAAAGTTCCTTGCATATCGTGATGGATGCTTTAGAGAATCAGAAGCCTCTTGATTGAAACCCTCTTGAAGCTCACTTGAAGAGATTTCAAGGATTCTGCATTATTTGTTTTAGATTACAGTCAAATTTCCAATCATAATCAAAGGCCACTGTGCTAAAGAAACAAATGTGAAGAATAATAGATTACCTAATAGCTTATATTTGAACTCTCCTAAACATGAAAAGTCATTACTCGTTTTTTCATCCACATTGATTCAACTCTTAAAATTCAGCTCTCATAAACCAGCGCACTCGTGTCTACAAGAAGGACAGAAAATTTCCTCCCAAAGCATTTTTCATTCAGTTTTGTCCACATACCCTATCACATTTACTATTTATACGACACTACCAATCTACCATTATTAAATTAGTTACTAAAAATAATTCTAAACACAATAACCTTCTAATCCCTTGATAGGTATCAATAAGCACATGAGATAAGATGCCCAGAAGCATGCTTACTTGGAGCATCTACGCACAACTATATTAGCGACTGGAGAGAGCTCCTGTATCCAATTCCTCCCAGCAGATGGAGAATCCCTCATCTCCTCGAATTCGTCATCAAAATAACTCCTCTTGCCAAGCAACCATTTAAATGATCCTTCTCTGACCAGGCCCTCAAGCAGGTTTCTAGTTCTTCCTGAAAAAGCCATCTCTTTTCTCCTCACTATTTGTTCAAGTGGTAAAAAAGATATCGACTAATGGGATTTCTGTTGTAGTTATTGCATCCATTCGCACATAAATCTTTCCAACAAGAAGTTGCATCAAGACGAATCCTCAAATCGATCCATCAAAGATTCAACCCATCAAAATCCATCTTTATGATAATTCAGGTGGAACGGACTTCCAGAGAACCAAGGACAGAAAAGCAAGAACAATTTGTCAATAGATATAGAAGCAAAATAAACTGCATCAGTTCTTACAACCTCTGGAACTTCTCGGGAGTCACAAAAATAGGGCTCAACAGATACGATATAGTCCGTTAGGTAGGCAGTGACGATGCATTAAGTATTAACCAACAAAGAATAAGCATACTTGGGGTACACGCCAGGGCAATCAAGATCCTTTGAGACCCATACAGAAAATAAAAGAGTGCTGCGACCTGAATAAACCCACCAATTACTCATCAAAATTCCAAATCCACGGAGAAGAATTAAAATCGAAACCACACCATTCGTTTGCCCAAAAATTTGTACTGAGCACTACCGACATAACCCGCCAAAAAAATGCTGAGTCACAGAGCAAAGGAATGTCTCGACTTTTAAGCAAAGGAGATAACACCTCCAACGCCTGCCAATTTTCACGAATCAGACCGTCGATCTCAGACGAAAAGAATTGCGAAGCAACCCTTATGGGAAAGTTGCAACATTCATAGAATCACAGTGACTGATAAATTATTGGAGGGAAGCCGACGGTGGGCAATGCTACAGAAGACACATGCAAGATTGAAGATTGTGTCTTGAATTGTGGGTTTTTATTTTTATTTTATTTTTTGGTGTGAAAATGATGGGTTTATTAATGAACAAGCATGCAAGAGGACCCGACACCCGGCAGAATGCCACAGTGCTTAAGCGACGATCTAAATAAATAAATAAGACATGAGGTGCGCGGGTTTCTCATTCTGATTCGGTGATTCGCGCTTTTTTTTTTCTTTTTATTCTCTGGCGTTAATTTAATTGCCGTTTACTGCCATCAAAAGATTTCAGTGCTGTTTAGTCCTTCGAAGAAAAAAATTGCGGTTTTCGGCGGCGATGATTTGACTAATTCATGACAATATGAGTTCGAATTTCGAAATGTGACAAGTTAAATAACAGTAATATTAAAAAATTAGTTAAATTAATTATTTATAAAAAATAAATATGGTTTTTTATAAAATATATTTGTTAATCATATATATATATATGAATTAGAATTATTATTTAATAAAATGTTTAATATATGTAACTGCTAATTAAAAAAGAGATAAATATTTAGAATTAAATTAAATATTAAACTAACTCTTATATAAAAAATATAAGGCAGTATTTAAGTATTTTTCACAAACGTTGGCCAAAAAAAAAAAAGAAGGTATTTTCGCAAACGTTATCCAAGTGGTGTGATATTTCTGTGCTCTGGGTCTGATGAGTATTAAAAACCTGGTATCAAGCAGGAATTTTTTGTTTTTAAAAGATAGAATGTATTTCTTTTGGTCTCCGTAAGAATTTGGAATGGTCTTGTGTAAGCTCAAACAAGCCCAATGATGAGGCCTTACAAGCATGTGGACTTCAATCCATTGCGTACAGCTTTCCCGAACAAAGCGGGCTAGAGTGGGGCAGCCCGTGCTGTTAAAACCTCCCCCTTGAATTTGAATGCCCGAAGAGCAACTAATTTCAAGGGATTAGCCTGATGGAGAGCATAATTTTTATTGAACTGGGCACATTTTTTTGTGCAGTCTATGGAGTCTGAGGAATGAATTGTAGCTGAAGTACTAGTAATATAATTTGATGTTAAAGGTGTTATATTCTAGGAACATTGCACGGAATATGGGAAATGACTCATACTATGTTATGTCTGCGTCACATTTTATTATAAAATTTTACATTTTATATAGATGATATTGAATTGTGTTGAATATTGGTGCTATATTAATAGTAAGAGCAAAATCATTTAGGACTTGTGACTGTGAAAGAAATATAGAAATTGAAAGCCTGGGGTGCGCAGGAAGTGGAAGTGCATAAAGAAGAGGGGTGTAGAGATTGGGGTGGACATGTGAGGCTGAAAGCGCATCGAATGTAAATTCAGGCAACTTGACCCCTTCCCACTCAACATGTCCCCTCGCTTTTGGCAACATATCAAACAGAATGGGGTGATCCTGTTTGTTCTCAACTTTAAAGTCTTTCCCTCTGTTTTTGACCTCTATCCAAATACACCCACTTTCACTTGCTCATGATTCTGCATCCATTTTGGCTTTTTATCTTTAGTGGGTTTTCTTCTTTTGTTAGTGGTATCAGGTTTCTCGCCAGCTAACACCTTCCACTTCCTCTTCCTTGAACTTGCCCATCTTTTATTCCTTAATTAATTCCTCTCTCCCCAACTAATACTCCTTATTCTGATTATCCCTTTTGATAACACATGATTTGGGACCCTTGTAGTCCCCCCATTCATGCATGCAGCCCAAGACCCTGGGTCAAACAGAGCCTTTGAGGCGAAGTTAATGCCTATTGTCATTTTTCCACAATTGCTCTATCCTCCTTTCAACATGCTCTGGCCCATTCATTCTGTCCTCTCCTCTCTCCATTACATTCATACAATGCATCTGACCCCTCCTCCCTTTGATTATAAAATGGCATCAAATATGTTGCAATCTTAGAAATTCCTATAAACATTTTCTCCCCTCCTCAATCATTCACTTCGTGAATTGGCAACGTCCTTAAGATTTTATGAATTCTTCTGCTTGAATGGGGTCCCACTAACTTGTTCCCTCGTTTGGATTTGGCTTGAGGTTTGTCATGTTACTAAAAGTTGGTGCCATATCTAATTAAACCGCTTATTTTATCGCAACACAGTTGCTGTCCTTGGTCCTACAAGACATGGACTTCCCGGTTGGACCATGATGCCCAACATTTTAGCCTGGCTCCACGTGTCGAACTTGATGGAACAGACACAACTAAATAAGTATATTATTATCATAGCTTCTGCATCTATCACTTCCCAACAATCCCAACAAATAAAAATATAAGCTGCTTTTAAATCAGATAATTGAGTTGAAACATCACTCTGAAAACCCAAACTTGTTTACCCTTTCTTGCGATTCTTTGTTATTTGTTCTTTCACTAAAGCTCTGCCCACGTCATGGACCAAGCAAACAATTGGAACTTAATCGTCACATTTATAACATTTGTTTTGGTCAAAAACACATCTGTAACTTTTTGATATGGGAGTAATAGAATAACATTCATCTAAATCATGCCAGTTACTGTTTGAAATGGAAGTTAAAGCTATGAACCACACTGTTAAAAGGAAAAGGAAATGCATCTGAACTCTGAGCTTTTATTAACTTTCATATAATTTCTTCACATGTTTATAGGATTATACAAGAATGGGCACTTGAGCTTATATCACTGAGTGAAAACAAACTGATCTTTTACAATGACAAGGCTTCCCCATATATTGTGTGGCTACTGGCTTATGAGAAGTAACATCCAAAATTGACGTCAGAAGGGCCAGGTTGCTTGAAAACAAGAAATTCCCACGCAGCCTTCTCTCCCATGTTTGGATAACTCTTTTGCCTCAGCTGCCATTGCTCGCTGCCACAAATCAAATTGATAAAGAAGTTTGCTAAAGTGGACAAATATTTATATATCAGACACGTTTCTATATTTATTACTCTTGTCCATCACAACTGTCTGCATATATTATACACAAGTTCGAAAATCATCGCACAGCACGCTCATATTTTCTACTAATTTACCACATGATGAAGAATCATCGGAACCGACATCTAAATTTTCCTTCTAAATAGATTACCATCCCCTGCCCAAAAAAAGGACACAGATTCCTAGAAATATTTGAAAAATTGCTCCTATCATGCTATGAAGGAACTATAGATAACCGCTCTAATCAGTCCATAGCATGTACATATACAGTAGAGAATATATAAATATCTAATGTCATTGAAAATTCCATCTGATGTTATTGAAAAATCTCTTTTCCCGTCATGTTTATCTGGCGTGTTATGTCAACAATGTAGCAACGCCATATGTATTGACAAAGAGCAAAGATCTCTGTGTAAACTTAATGGGCTGACTTATTCATTATTAGCTAACCCATACAAGGCTCAGTAAACATAACATCTATTTAAACTCATCTATATAACCCAACACAATGGGGATCCCATAATTTGGGCTTAAAACTCATAACTAACCATTATTAAATCCTTTTTTTCCCCAAAAAAAGGGCTAAACACAGTTTTTGACGATCCACATGGAAAATCCAATACGGTAAATACACAATGGAAGAGAATTTAGATTATACATATATACTTATAAGATGAGGCCCATTTGTTCTAGATCAATTTTTTAGAGTTGACACCTGCATTGTTTCCAAAGCATCTGTCTCTGAATTGAAGTCATAGAAGTTGCTTGCTGCAGTAAGCTTCATGGAGAGGAACTGCAAGTAAAACCACGTGTAAATTGAAACTAAGGATATGTTTCATTATGATTTCTTTTTTTTTGAGTCAGCAATGAATGAATTTTCTTGAACTTTGATCACTTACCTCCACTTGATGCTGCAAGGATTGAACATAATTTATGATCTCATCCAACATTACTGCCATACCCATAGTCTGCAAATCCATTTATGATAATGATAAAATTAGTGCGACTGTCATGTGTATTTTTACACAAAGCGAGCTTTTGAGAAGAAATTTTATTTTACCTTGCTGCATCCTGGTACAATATTCTGTAAGCACCTTAACTTCTCATTGATTTTCCCTCTTCTAACCTGAATCCAAACAAATGGTAAATCTGGATTACTCCGTGTTCATCTTGAACAGAGAAAGAAGAAAAAAGGCCCAGTCCATTGAATCTGTCTATATATGATGACTAAAACAATGTTAAATTTATTGGAAGTTCTCTGTTGGTCTGAAAAACGGGGTTTTGAGAGTTATACCCTTTCTGCTAAACTGTGACTATCAGTAGCTTGACCTCTTTTGGCTCTGACATGAACCACTTCCTTTGAATTGTCCACATCTGTTTCATTGCCTTTTACTCTCTTACTTCTTCCGGAACTCTGAAAACGTGGAGGAAAAATAATGAAACTCTGTCCCACATATAAGTTGAAAAACCAGTTCAAAACATATCATATTATCAGTGTATGATTGTAGAGTAAAAGGAGAAATAATCTTAGAACTTACAGTTTTTATTTTGCTTCCACTCTCAAAAACTGCAGACGTTGAATTTGTAGAACTCGTCTCTAGCACATCTGTTGGTTTCCTCTTTTTACTTTCGTGGATTTCACTTTCCTCAGGTAAACTGGGCAAAGAAACTGGTACAGCATTGTGATTGACATGATGGACAAAGCTAGGAAAATTTTCCTCAAATTTTCTTTCAAGTTGAGGCTCAGGGAAGCCTAAGGAGGTGTCACAGGAAAAAGGCATCAAGCTCTGAAAATTAAGATTTGAGCTGTCCAAGACACGTGGGCTCATCCCTGTGAATTGGTTTATCAGTTCCATGCTTGGATCAAAATCAAAGAAATGAAAAGGTGACCTAAAGGCTTGCAAATCTGTTGTAAACTCAGCCATGTGAATCCAAAAAACTGAGTTAAGAGGCTGAGGTTGTTGGTATCTGGATGATGTGGGAGTGACTGCTATTTATATTGAGGAATTGCAGCTACATTGAGGAAATGAGGAAGCTCAAGCTCTGGTAGCAATGTCCCTCTAGTTGGTCCCACGCATAGAGAAATTTTCAAAATAACAATATGGGCCCCATGTTTTGGGAGAAAAGCACTGCCTGCATTTTGGAGCTTTTGGACCTTTTTAATAGGGGATCCCTTCCCTTCCTTTGATATCTATTATCTGATTCTTATTGTAACTTTTCAGTGGGGAAAAGACGTGTGCCTAGTGATGGGAAAGCACAGTCTAAGTGCAAACTCTACCAAAAACATGAATATTATGCGTTTATCTCTTCCTCTTTAATTTTTTGTCTTTTTTTGCGGAAACCTTTTTTTCTTCCTTTATATTGTGAAATCTGTGAGCAATACAATGGAACGTAGTTTTCATTACAGATAGTAAATGCCCCCTATTATTGCAGGCAAATTCATTTTCATGTTTCTTTAACTACTTCAATGCACTACTAAAATTAGAAGTAGTAATAGTCAACCTCAAAATTATACAATCCCACAGGAAAGCGTAGATAGAATAATTTCTAGTGGTCCCCATATCAAAAGTATCTTCCCTTGGCCAACTACAACCATATTACTATGTGATGGTTTCTTGAATATTTTGAATATAGTTTGTCCAGAGTGGTCTATTGCTTTCGATGCGATGAACCTTACATCCTTCCTCCACTGCTTTTATAAAGTCGCAATGTTTTTGAAAGCATAGTTTCATAATTGAGCATGTAAAGAGAAAGTAAGATGGAGCAGGATTACTTGGCCATCAAGTTATGTTAAGAAGAGGGGGTGGCCGTGGAACCTTTCAATTACTACTGTTTGTCCATGCACTCTGATTACTACTTGCAATTTGTTTGCCTATGACTTGGATTGATACCTGAGAAGTGAATGAACCAAACTTATCACCCTCTTAAGAAAGTAGTGGCCAATCAAAAACAGGACGTACCTTACCAACTGCATAGTCCTTGCCGAAATTGGACATACTTTGAAGTTTTTGAAGGGATCACACAAATTAAAGTCATTCCATGGTCCACTAGTTTTGGTAGTGAAATTTTACTCTTCAGATGTAGAAGAAGAGTAATGTTTCAAATATATTATTTCAAAACATGAGGATATTACCATGAAACTTCTCTAATCATATACAAAGACAAATATATAGTTAACTTTATAATATGCTTCCTAATATAGCAGTAATAGGCATCACTCTTTACAGCTTTAGAGAAATTGCCTAGTTTGACAAACTAACAGTAAGACCTTGTCACCAAAATTTCTCATATTAAGCGTTCTAAAAACTGCATTTGATCTTTATAAAAAACAAGGTTCACAGCTTGAAGAGAATTTCTGATATCACATGGACATATGACTGATAAATGCATACTTATAAAGCCTTGTCTTTGGAAACTTATTTAACGTGCATTTGCTTATCTACAAACCCCCCCCCCCCCAAAAAAAAAGAAAACATTTGATATAGAAGGATGACCAACGCGTTCTTAAAATAACCTAAAAAGTAAAGATTATTTGAAGCCCTTAATACATGTGGCTCTACCACCGCGAATGTTAATACTTACAGGGTTACACACTCTAAACTGCTTATTACAGTTTGGATATTGCATGTCCCTTCAGTTTCCTTATCTTTGAGTGACAGAATAAGGAAATAAAAGAATAGGATATATCACAAATCACAAATTATACGGTAAATGAAGGGTGCAAACTTTTCTTCTTTGGTAACAAGATGAAACTCGGCTCCTTTTTTCTTTTTTTTTGCCGACAGAAATGTGGTTCTTTTTCCCTTTAAGGAAAACAAATCATTGTTTCTTTTTCGTTATTTGCCTTTCATCAAACAGTACCATCATATATCTACATAGGAAGCATTACGCGGATTGATTGGGATCACCGATCTAATCCAAAAATGATCTCTCCAACTTAACTAGTTGAGTCCATGGGATTGAGTAGTTCATATCATTAATAAGTCAGGGTACGTATACTTTCTGCTTCACACTAAAATCCACTCATGCACGCATTATGTGAACAACCTTTGAAGATCAAAAGAAGGAATGACAAGAATGTAGCAACTTTTGACCCGACATGATTCGATATGATGCCTCTCGTCATTTATAATATCTCCACGTTCATTCTCCACATCTTTTCAAGCATTAGTGTATTAGTATCTTGAAAACTTCAAGAGGGTTCTTTTACACGAAACCAAACGGAAAGATGTGGATCATTAAAAAATGTCGAGATCCCAATTATGATTCGCTGAACTGCAAATAATTTTGTTCTAGTGGCACAGATTTCCTTTTAGGTGCTATCTTTTTCCTGATAAACCTCCATGCACCAACCTCAAGATTAGTTTTTTAGCTATGGCCAATGGATCCCAAAAGGCATATGATACGTTTTTGGCATATCAGTTAAAAATGGATTTGATTTGAGCTTATAGCTTGTGCTTCGTATACGAACCTAAGCCAACTTTTGCTGGGCCAAGAACTAGACCGGTTCAGAACCATATTAATCCAGCTAGGTCCACTCTATAGATTTTGACAAAACGACAAAACATCCTGTAGTGTTCATCTAACTCTGCCAAGTTAATTCCCCTGTCATCCTCATCTTTGTTAATACATGTGGTCATCAGGATTTTCATCCTGTGATCTCTGCATAATTCTTGCTCTGACTTTTGCAAACAAGCTGCTTGAGCAAGGGATCATGCCTTTACCCCTGACAACTTCACACGCTTGATCTTCTTTAATCATCAATATGTGACCCTGTTGTCATAATCGCCAATAGAGTGAGTGCAAAATAAAATCTTTAAACCGCAACACATAGATATAAGGCTAATGAGGTTTCTTAGCCTAAGAGATGTATCTTTTGTGGTATTGAATCCTTGCCAAGGAGTAAAATTTAATAGTAAACAAGGTTTACAACCATCTGTCTGTGTTCAAGCTCAATCAAGAACCAGAGGAAACGAACAATAAGATGCTTCAGAAAGCAAAAGAATCGTCTTCTTCACCCGTGTTCCCCCAACACCAATCGTTCCCCTTGCCCCTGGACCTTAATAATTCTCAGGATTCAGCCGTTGAAATAGCACAAACGCCAATTGATTTAACAGGGGAATTAACTCGCATGAATGAGGCATTTCTCAACTGTTGGCATCGAAGTGAGCAGAATTCAGACTCTCAGCACAACAATAGTTCATATAATTTCTCTTCAGGATCAGCAAATATGCCTTTGATAACAGTGAGTTGAGCACCTTCGCATACAATGACTACTCTGTAAGGAAAGCTGTGAGGGCTGCTGTGGCCGTGGAATGCATGGTTGGTGATTCACAAGTGGCAGAAACAGTTTAGTAAATAATGATTCTGCTCGTACGAATTTAGTGATACCTATAAATTTTCATAAAATTAGATGTAGGTCTCCCCGCGTCTCACGATTCTAAAAAAGGTAGCCATATTTTATGATTTATAAATTATAAGTAGTGTTACTCTCCATAAATTTTATGTTGTGGATTAATATATAATATGATGATATAAGGATGATTTAAATATTTTGAAGGATTCATCTATCTATATATTTGTGTATAATACACTGGCAAAAAATATTTGTATCTAATATCTGGCAGAAAAATGCTTACATATAATATAAATTTTTAAGCCCGCACTATTTCATTAGTGTTAAATAATGTGATTAATTTTGCTTTATTAAAAGCGCAAAATAATCTTTAAAGGCTTACGTGATTTCTTTTTTTCAATTTAATCTGTTTGAATTTAAAATTTTCTCTGAAGACCTCGGTATGAAACCTTAATTTTAAAAATATTTTTAAAATATACAAAATCAATAAGTGAAAAAATTTATTTTGTTTTGTTAAAATATACTTTTTAAAAATAATTATTAAGCGATCCAAACACCCCGCCGTCCAGCTGGTTACTGAAAGCCGAAGGTACGGTTCAGGCCCTCCATTGGAAAAACCAACGGGGAAGATACAAGGATCACAGGATCTCTTGTTGAATCTCCACCGTCCATGTCAACGGAAAAATTAATCTTTGTCGTTCATTCAATCTCTATAATCCCAGGTAAACAGCAGATTTTAGGGTTTTCACTCCACTTCTAGCATCACACTAGGGACTCGTGCGCAAAGGCAGCGGATTTCTCTGGGGCTTGAGGTCTGTCAATAAACCCCCTTCTCCATGAGGGAATTCTGCGCATTAATGAGCAAAATCAATATACGATATTAAAAGAAATCTCTTTTTTAGCAACCAAGCTTGTTCGCTTGTCCTGTAAAAGCTCTGTTGTGAAAAATCTGATCAGTGGCTCTGCTTGTTGACATACATTGATTGCTCAATGACAGTCTGGGGTTACGAAAATATGTTATAAGATCCTTCTGCATTGAATGCCGTCCTCCCCCCCTCCCCCCGGGGGGGGGGTGTCAATTTGTTATCGAGTCATCAACTTGAGGCTCATCCTTTCATTTTTGTTGATGGTTTATGTTAACTCAATGAGGTTCTGAGGAAGAACTTGTACCTGAAAACATCAGGGCATATGGCACTGCGCGGTATTGTTTTTATTTGTACCTTCACGTTATGGGATATGCTGTGCTTGTTAGATTCTCAGATATAACAGCAAATTTATGTAATCACAAATCACAAACGTCGTCTACTTCTGTTGTCTACTATGAATTTGTTGGTACTGTATGTGATATTCTTTCCCTCTTTTATTTGCCTAGAGTTGGGAAGATGTACACATCAAGGAAGAAAATCCACAAAGATAATGATGCTGAACCAACTGAGTTTGAAGAGTCTGTTGGACAGGTTTTCTTCTGCACATTATAAAATATTTCTGTTGCTGTGTATGCTTGTTGCTAAATGTGATCTTATTTTCATGTGTAACTTTTTTGGCAGGCTTTTTTTTATCTGGAAAATACCAACCAGGAGCTGAAAAGTGATCTTAAAGATCTATACATAAATTCAGCAGTGTGAGCATGTTTATCATATATATCACATACCTGTGCACTTGAAGATGCATTAGTTGTTTGGCCTACTTTATAACTGACATTTTCACAATCTGCAGCCAAGTTGATGTTTCTGGGAACCGCAAGGCTGTGGTTATTCATGTTCCCTACAGATTGAGGAAACCTTTCCGAAAGATTCATGTTAGACTTGTCAGAGAGCTTGAGAAGAAATTCAGTGGAAAGGTAAGCAAAGTCTTAACTTTTTGATTATGTCTAGATAGAACACAGTTATTCTCTTTATCTTGGCAATCATTATCAAATTCTCGCTATTTTGTCCATTTTTTGGCAGTTTGATATGGTAACTTCCTTCGACTTATTCTTTGTATGGTTCATGATCCTTGGCATAGTCATTCCGATGATCTTTTCTACATGGGGAAATCATTTTAACTGAACTATGTTATTTGAGAAATCTACTATTCACTTATTCGGTGTTGTCTCCAAGTTTTATTATTAGGAAATTGTATTAACGGACGTCACTGCAAAAATAAGATGTAAATTTGTAATTTGTCATCGATGAGCATAACTATGATTACTGACAGTATTTTTCTGCCCTGATGAATCTCAACATACCTTGTCCTTTTCTATCACCTAACACGTATTGGGCTTCTGATTGGAATGCTCATTGAACTTGTAGGATGTAATTCTGATTGCAACCCGGAGGATATCCAGGCCACCAAAGAAAGGATCTGCTGTACAGCGTCCTCGAAGCCGTACACTTACTGCTGTGCATGAAGCTATGCTGGAGGATATTGTATTGCCTGCTGAGATTGTTGGGAAGCGCATTCGGTATCGAGTTGATGGATCTAAAATTATGAAGGTAAGCTTGCTCATGAAATTTTGAAAAAACTTTCTTGGTTTTAATAGCACTCAATAATGCAACTTGCCTTTATACATACATTGTTTTATAGAAAATATTGATGTCTATAATTAGAGGGGGTGCTGAATATTCCGGGCACACTTGGGAAAAAAATGTTAATACTTATTTATATCTAGCTAAGTGTACGGGGTATAATTTCTAAAATATAGGGTAAAATTTATTCTCAAGGCCTGCGTTCGTTAATTAAGCATTTGTTTGTGTGGATGCTCCAGGTTTTCTTGGACCCAAAGGAGCGAAACAACACAGAGTACAAGCTGGATGCTTTTGCTGCAGTATATAGGAAGCTGTCAGGCAGAGATGTTGTGTTTGAGTATCCTATTACGGAAGCTTGAGATCGTCTCCATCGTCAGCCTGAACCTGTTCAAGAATTCCCTATGGTGGATGCTACTGGCAATTTTGTCCGCTAGTTGAAGATTTTGCTACTGTCGGTTTAATGGATGTAGGATCCCCCCCCCCCCCAAAATGGAAATTAGTTTAGTTTCTTTTCAACTTGTGATCGATTGGCTTGTTTTTAATGAAAACCTGCGGGGAAGGTTTCTTAAAATTACAATGCCTCGTTTCCGGCCTTCATGATCTGCATGTATACCACTTCTGTCATTTTGATGGGGAAATTGCAGCGACGGCCGTTGATTAAGTGCATGTTTGGATTGCCGTTCGTAAGGGCAAAAGTATCTTAGAAATGATAAAACTGAGGGTGTAAATTGAGGTGGACAAAAAATGTTGTTTGGCTTGGCCAACTTTTTTAACCAATTTGTGGTTTTCAATCTCAGTTGGACTCAATGGAGGAAAATCTGACTTTTTAAATTGGAGTTTTAAACGGTGATCATTATTGAATGATTTCATGTTTGTTCATTATATATATTTAATTAATTATCTATAATGTGTTTTTAAATTTTTCTCTGTAACAAATATTTTTATTTTATAATTTCATCAGTAAACTATTTATATTTTATCATAATAATTATATATATATTTTTAAATTATTATCATATTAAAAATATAAAATTTCAAACACTACTATTGTTTTCAGTATTTTATAACTAGACTAATTTTTTTTATTAATCATTTAAATAATTTTTAATTTTTTCAATTGACTTTTTAAAAATACCTATCCAGATATATTCTAACTGAATTTTACTCTAATTTTAGTTATAAAAATCTGTTAGGTTAGAAGTTAGTTTTGCCCAATACCAGTCCAAATATATCCTAAGTTATCAAAATACAGTGTGATAAATAACGGGAATCGCGTTATCATATTTTGGCAGCGCAGAAGTCGCAAGAATTCGACTGGCTCCGTAATCGTAGTTTGATCGAGTTTATTTAGAATTTTAACACGGATGGGTCATGCATTTATTATTGTTGTCAGTATAACATTTAAAAATTTCAATAGCCTATATTATTAACATTAACAAATTGTAAAACATACGACGTCTTTTTAGCGAGGGAACAAATCTCTCAAGTTTCAACTTCCAGTCTTCCACCTCAATTCACTAATAACAATTTTGGATTTGTTCTTTTTTCCTTTCCCTCCTTTAAGCAAACGACAGCACCAATTACCTCTTTTCTGCTATGGTCGCCAACATCAATTAGACTGTTTGATCTCCTCACAACCTTCGTACTTGATAAATTGATCGGGCTTTACAGAATAAGAATGGAGATCATCTTCCTTCATCAAACGAAGAAATGGAGATAGAATTTCTAGAATAGTCCTCAACTATGCTACTTCCCCCAGAAGCCTTCGTCGCAGTAGTAGCATTAGTATTGGTGAAAGCAGAGGATGAGGTGGTAGTCCAACGTCCTATGCGGCCTTGAATTCCAGGTTTACTGGGTCTTGGCAAAGTGAACGAGTCACTTGAGAGCATCAGATGAACAGCATTCATATCAGGTCTCTCTGATATGCTTGCTTGGCAGCACAACAAGCCCAGCTGAATGCACATCGCTGCCTCGTCACCATTGTATTTGCCTAGGCTTGTGTCAATCAAATCCATTATCTTCCCCGCCTGATAAAGCTTCCATGCCTGCATATGCACAAGAAACAGTTGAGTTTTCAACGAAATGTCTTCGTTCAAGCAATGGCATAACATTTCATTATTGCAAAGTGGCCAAGGTTATATATCTCTACATGCTCCGAGAGAGCCTTACAGAAGTCTCGATAATCAAACATCAAATGCTTGATATGAATTAAGAACGCTACGCAACCATTTCACAGGCACGATGCGTGGTTACTATCACGAGCACGAGTTGTCCATATCAACATCTTATGGACCGCTGACTTCTGTTTCCAGAATATTTTAAGAAATACTACCTCCGCTCCTAATTATAAAAACCAGTTGACTAATTTGAGGAGATTAAGGAAGTAAGTTCAGTTAATTATTTGTCCTAAATAGGTATTGTCTTTCCTAAAATATCTTTGCTAATCAAATGTATTGACTAGAACTATCATTGTTAGAAGGGTTACTTTGGAAAAAAAATATAAATATGAGAGACAAATTGGATTAGAGTCTTATATTTAGGAGCAAAATAAAAATCAAACAGGGTCTTCTTATATTAAAGACCGGAGGTAGTAAATTTTAACAAGTCAAAGAGATGAACATGGGAGCTGGGAGAAATGCTTGCTGGAGGAGGAGTATTGTTAAAAGCATTAACTCAATAACTTGGGCACCAACATCAACAGATAATTTGAATGTCCAAAACAATGAATCATGCCACGGGACCGCTTTTCCATTTTATCCTTGCGCATACACAGAAAGTACGCAGATCACAGCATCTGATCACAACTTATAGCAAGAATCACGGTTCATGTGCATATTGAATTTATATACTAGGTCTGCATTGGCAACAAACTTACATGGTTCAACAGATCTGCCTGCTCTTCACCAAGTAGCCGGTCATGGTTTTTCCTCCCACTGACAATTTCTAATACCAAGACTCCATAACTAAAAACATCAGTCTTTACAGACAAGTATCCACGCAATGCATACTCAGGAGCCATGTAACCACTACATTTGTAAAAGGTAAAAATAGTAAGGAATACCGATGCTTGTATCACAATGACAAAGTGAAGTGAACAAGTTACTCACTGTGTACCAGAAATCTTAAATGTCTGCACATGGGTGTCATCCCCAGGAAATAACCTCGCCAAGCCAAAGTCCGAAATTTTTGCGTTTAATTTCTCATCCAGCAAAATGTTACTGGCTTTGATGTCTCTATGAATTATTCTTATTGGGGCCTCTTCATGCAGGTACAGAAGCCCTCTTGCCACACCTGTAACTATTTTAAATCGCGTTGGCCAGTCCAGAGATGGTGATTTTCTTTTATCTGAAAGTTTATAGGCGTATCATTACTTCCAACAAACAGCCAGGACAGAAAATAGAAAATGGAAAGGGGCGTTTCTTCTTGTATGTTCAGTAGAAAGTGCTGCCTTACCGAAGAGAAAGTGATCAAGACTCTTGTTCGGGAGATATTCATAAACAAGCATCTTTTCAGGTCCTTCAGCACAACATCCATATAAAGTAACCAAGTTCTTGTGCTGAATTCTCAGTAGTAGTTTGACCTCATTGGTAAATTCTCTAATTCCTTGTCTTGATTCCAGAGACAGCTTCTTCACAGCTATTTCTTGACCATTTGGCATCAATCCCTGCAGAAATCACGCACAAGTTAACCAAATTCTTGCTCGAGGGCAAGGAAACAAATCCACCAACAACCAAGACTCTGAGAATTCCCTCAGGTAGGTTGATAGCTGATGCCGAAATTTAATTTCTCAGGCGCTAGAAAATCGGCGCATACAATATTTGGAAGATTCAACATTTATATGTTGTTTAAACAAGGAATTATCAACCATGTCCAAATTCTTCATAAAGAAAATTTTGAGTACTTGAAAAACTAGATGTTCGAATGTTCAATTATAGATCATTCTTTCTGTTCTTCACATATATAACATCAGGGAAGAGACTAAGCTAATGGAAAGGCAAATTCGAATAGAAAAGAATCTCGACTAAGCGGACACCATAATACAGCTCCCCCTCCCGAGCTGCCCCCGTCATTGAATGAACAGAGGAATAGTAGCTGCATTTATTCAAGGATGATTCTTCAAGGGAGCAGAGAACCCAGCATCTAAAAGGGCACTTAAAACAGGAAATTGGAACAAGTAAAAAAAACTAAAACTAAAACTAAAACTAAAATTAAAACTAACTCGGAGCTAGTAAAAAACAGCCAGGTTGACTATTTCAAGAGTAATCATAGAAGGATGCGGAAGACAGAGAAACCTTGTAAACAGGACCAAACCCTCCATGACCTAATTGGTTCAACTCGGAGAAGAAGTTGGTAGCTAGCTGCAGAGTGTGGAGGTCGAAAAAGAGGTCCCAGGTGTCGGCACCATCGTTGGCTGCTTGAGGATCAAGGGAATCAGAGGCTGCGTTGTCCTTGAACCTCTTGCTGCAGCAGGGGCATAATCTAAACACAAAACTCATGGATTGTCGTGAGAGCACGAATTCCACGGCGCTTCCGCCAACAGCGACCTTAATATTAAGTTGATTCTCCTCGTATACATGAAAATCCAAAATCTGAATTAGCTTCTTCGAAAATGTAAGCGCCTGACTGATAGCTTGCAGCTCCGTACTACTCTCCTGCATTTACTTTTATGCATCTCTCTTTGGAGAAATTCACTCTTGCATGAACCAGGTGTGCCCCGTAGTATATGGTCTGACCAATATAAAAAGGACAAGTCACACCGTGGGGCCCGCTGCTGTCTCAGTTTTTTAAAATTTTCAAACTCATTAATTACCTCTCGCTTCCGTATCATTTTCCTTTCTCATCATTTACATTATTTTTTAATCTAATTTTTCACACTAAAAACCTTTTCTTCCTCCGTCAGAAGTCAGAGCCACGAAGCTGATCATCAAGAGTGTGATGGTTCTTGGTGGTGATGGTTGCCAGGGCATTGAGCTAAGAATATGAAGACCACAGCACGATAAAGTGGTAAGGCCGTCGAAGTGGTGGTGTTGGCTGAGGATGAGGATCAGCTTCTTTGGGCGGTGATTACTGAAAGAAGTTCAGATGAAAAGTCTGCCATAAATGCTATTGCGAGCTCGATGATGGTGGGTGTTTGAAATAAGCCACTTCTAGGTTCTAGCAATGTTCAGGGCTTAGAAATATAAGTTGGGAAAAAAAAAACAAAAAGAAGCTTATGAACGGCTTTTTATTTATTTATTTACGACAGTCTTATGTGATTGATGAACTAATCAATGGTAGGAAAGACTGCTGGTCAAAAAAAAATTGTAGGAAAGACTGACTGGGTAATAGTCAACGGAACGACCACACGCGTCACCGGAATTCTCACGGCCCTTTTTTTTCAAACAAGAATAAAAGTTGTTCACTTGTTCGCTTCCGAAAATGTACGGCCGCCCCGGCCATGGGTCTTTTTTTTTTTTTGGGGGGTCGAAAATGCATAGGCTTGTTCTTTACTCTAATTTATACCACCCCTAGTTTTTAATCATTTGATTTTTATTTTAATTTTAAATATAAGATTTAATTCACTTTATCTTGGACATTTTTTTTATGACAGTCCTTCTAATAATAGTAACTATAATCAGTACACTTGATTAGTAAGGATATTTTAAGAAAGATAACATCTATTTATTATAAATAACTAACTTAACTTATTTTCTGAATCTTTTCAAATTAGTCAACTAGCTCTTTTATTTAAAATTCGAAGTAGTAATTCTTCACCGTACAATTTTAATGAGTATATTGATGAATGTCGTTGTTATATTTGTAAATTTTCTTACACAGTGTTTACTTTTGAATGGGCGTGTAATCTATTCATTTTTGAATCAGGGATAAGGGATACTTAAGTTAAATTGAGACATATTTCGTGTGTTTATCAATTTTTTTTAAATTAACTCTATTAATATTTCTCAACAATAATTAAGTAAGAGAGGGAGGGAAAAAATTAAGAAATATGTTTAAAGTATTTAAAAAAATATCATATTAACTTATTTAATTAATATTCTTAATTTACTCAAATTAATTAATTAATTTTTATATTAAGAGTTAGAGGAGTATTTATTATGATAACAAATTCTACCTATTTATAATAGTAATAGGATCGTTTTAAATATTGTTTATAATTATTAAGCTGAAAAGTACGGTACGTGTCAATATTAGAATGACAAAGGACACATAGTAAAACAAATATTATAAGCATAAAAAAAGGTAAAACAAATAAAAGGTTAAATTGTATCTTTGAGGGTGTACAAGATTACTAGAAGTACTTTATAAAATAAAATTTATTTTATATATTTATCTCAAATTTTATAAAATTATTTTTGAAATCATAATTTAATTTTTATCTAAACATTCCATCATTGCAATGGTGATGATGACGTGGACATGCGTGTGAACGGGGACCATTCACACGGGAAGTTAAAAAAAGTTGAGATGAGAGTAGGGGATTTGAAAATTGAAAATTCAAAGAAGAGCAAGGCCATTAGTTAAGTGAGACATATAAAATTAGTTTCAAGCGTTCACATCCGTGCTCATCAGAAAGTACTTAGCACTCAAAACACTGCTGAGAGTAGGGGATTTGAAAATTGAAAATTCAAAGAAGAGCAAGGCCATTAGTTAAGTGAGACATATAAAATTAGTTTCAAGCCTTCACATCCCGTGCTCATCAGAAAGTACTTAGCACTCAAAACGCTGAGCTTTTTTTTTTTAACTTTATTTTTTTTGTTACAAAAAAATGTATACCATCTCAAATTATTAATATAAAAATTAGTTTGATATTTAATTTAGTTTTAAATATAAAATTCTAATATATTTTATCTCCTATATATATTTATTTTTTTTAATATAGTCTTTATAACAATTGCACGTGTTAGAGATTTAATTAATTGGTGGTTCTAGTTAATAAATATGATTAGTCAAAGGTATTTTAGAGAAAATAATACTTATTTATTACAAATGGCTAATTTAACTAATTTTTTAATGAACAATACTTAGATCCAGTTCCTTAGGTCCATTAGGTCCAGTTAGCCAACCAAATGCTGCCACCTCAATTATTTTCACACATTGGCACTTAATGTTGCTAAACCACCATTATCCTACCAAAACTTTCTTCTCCCCTTCCGGTCAAAATTGTAACGAAAGACCAGCAACGTCTATGTCTCCAACTCACCCTTCAATCTTTCTTCCATGCCCTTGACTTCTCTATAACTCCGACTCCCCTCTTCCCATGAGGCTTGATTTACAGAATCAAACCTTGGATTCAAGTTCATTACTTAGCAACAATAAGAGGTTGATTATCTAGAACCCAACCTAGAGCCAGTGACTCCTTTGTCAATCTATGCCAGATTTCTCAGCAACAACATTACGGAAGGACAATTTAAAGCCTGCGATTACTGTGACACCACCGACAACCATGAGTTTTGAGAGAGTGTCCAATCTGGAGGGGAGAAAGTTAGTGAATAATGCAGAGAAGAAGAGGGGGACCGTGTTCCAATGGTGAGGAAGAGCTACCGTGCCATGGATGAACTCAATTTCTCTTTGGCAGTGGGTAATGCCATTACCGGTGAAAGCAAAAGAGGAGGAAAGGGGACTTTTCTGTGAAGTCTTTAGGTTAAAACGATGACGCAAAGGAGAAGAAGAAATGTTAGTGCACTAACGATGATCTAATGGGGTTAAATGCTGGTGTGTAAAAATAATTGAAGTGGCAGCATTTGGTTGGATGACTGGACCTAATGGACCTATGTTACTGGAGCTAAGTTTCGTCTTTTTTTAATATATTTGAATTAGTTAAACTAATTTTTATATTAAAAATTAGAAAAAATATGTATTAAAATTATTTTTGGTTAACATTTATCTAGTATTCAAAAAAAAAATTTTAGATGTTTTCAATATCTTAAAGTATTTATGATCTATTTAGTACTTTAAAATATTTTTTCACGTGCATTTAATGTTTTAAAAAAATTTTATTTCCTGATATTGTACCACAAAGTATTTTAAAATAATAAAAAATATTTTAGAATACTAGATAAATGATAAAAAATTTTAGAATACTAGACCCTGAAATATGTTTTTAAGTAAGCTCAGTCACAAAGTATTTTAGAATAATAAATACATATAAAAAAATATTTTAAGTACCAAATATGTCGCAAAATACTTTAAAATACTGGATTCTTAAATATTTTTTCAAATGCATTGTCAGAAAATATTTTAAAATAGTGAATACATATTAGAAAATATTTCAAGATATGATAAAAATATTTTAAAATATTGACTATATCTAAAAAAATATTTATAAACTTTAACTAAAAATAATTCTAATACATATTTTTTTATAATGAAAAAAAAATGCGGATCCTAGTTTCAACGAGGCAGTGCGTGAGAATTTAGATAAATTAAAGGGTGTTTGGGAAACTTAAAACCATGGTTTCAGAAGCACTTTTCCGTAAAACGAGATAATCTCCTCCACATATTTAGGATGTGTTTGGATAGAAATCAAACCATGGTTTCAGAAGTGCTTTTACGGATTACGAAATAAATATGTGGAGAAGATTATCTCGTTTTGTGAAAAAGTGCTTCTGAAACCACGGTTTTGGAATACCCAAACAGGCCCTTACTTCGTAATCCGTAAAAGCACTTCTGAAACCATGGTCTTGTTTCTATCCAAACACCCCCAAATAAGCCCCATGGTTGATTGGCTGCAGCGGGAAGAGTTACTATGGTGTCATTGATTTGTCCACTGATCGGCAGCCTTTTCTCAAGTTTCAACCTTTGAGCGAAGAACTCATTGGAAACCCGTCACTCTAGGAACCGGCGATCTGAAGTTGTGAAAGACAGCGACGTCGAAGCACTAATCGCAATCTGCGTGTGCTTTCCAATGGACAGAGGAAGAAATCGAAGCCAATGTGGTCCCCAGTATTGGTGGGTTGGAGCAAGCGGACTACGTAGTGGTCGGAGGATAAGACACAGCGAAGAAGATGAAGTGGACATCAAAGATCGAAGTTCAAAGACTGAGCGGCGGAGGAGGAGGAGGAAGATTGCAGAGATCGTGACAGTCGAAGATGGAGGTGAACGCTGTCTTCCTCAATCTCTCGCCATGGTCGCAAATGGTGAACGCTGTCGGAATCGCGAATCATAAATCCGTCTGGTGAATGCCGTCGCCGATAATCGTGATTGTAATGGGCTGCTTGCTGTCAAGCATCGTCGCCGTTGATGAAATTTGTCGGTGAGCACCTGAAGTCGTAACTTTACTATCGGGCATCGGCAGAAGCTAGCGGGGAATAAGAACAGCAGGTCCCTTTCATTTGTCTTCATCATGACGCCTACAACAGCTTCTCCTACTACTTCTACAACACCACATATTCTATTTCATGTCCCTATTCCTATCTCTAGACTGCCATCATCCGTGTGTTTTGTGGATTGTGGGATCAGCAACCTGCCTTCATAGAATCAGTGTTGGCAACTCAAATAAATAGGAAGAGGAGATAGAGAGAACAGGAGGATTAGGCAAGTGGCGTTTCTCAGAGGAAAACTATAACTTCAGTGTATAGAAGTAGAATTGACGATGCTAATTATGAAATGAATATGGTAATTATGTATAATGAATTAGGAGTTATACTCAACAATTCAACTGATATATAATTAAAACATAATCGATTCTTACCCACACATTCAACACTATTTCTTCTAGTGCATGCATGGCTGACCAAATGCCAAAATAGCTCAGACAGGGACATAATACCAGCTAGCGCCAACTACAAACATACTGCTAAGCTGTTGTATTCGGATGCGCTTGCTAATTCAGGCTTAAATTTTTCAGGCAGAACGCCTAAAAGTCAAGAGATATATATAATTTGCAGATGACCATCATCCCGCATGCCAAATCCTCTTTGCAGCAACCATTGCTTCTAAAAGCTGTTGAGCTTCTGTCCAGTGTCGATGAATGTCCCATTGACTAGAGAATCAGACATCCCCACGCCTCTCTTGGAAACACAGCCATAAAAACAAACACAAATTTTCTGAATGAACCTTCAACTACTTACCAGCCAAACAGCCTGGTGCAGACTTTTCCTCTTCTTTTCTGGGGCAAATGACTAAATTTGTGTAAGGCACGCCCCAACTTCACTTAAAACAGGGCATTTATCTTCCCTATCTGCAAACACAAACCAATGAAGCTGCTACCGACAACCTTTTTCCAGCTTCTATATTTTGTCCTTGGGTGCAATTGGTTGCAATACAGACAGGAAGTAAGTATGACTAAACTTCTCTGCTAGATTATTCAGGTAAAACGGTCTATTAGAAGATTGATTGGATGAATTTCATGGATTACTCTATATATCAAAAGGGATTTATTCCCTCTCATGAAGTGAACCTGAACCACCCTTTTCTTTATTTTTCCAAATACAAAATAAAAATGAACAACCCTCACCTTGCAAACAAAAAGATACACCATTCCATTAAGGTTTCGAGGTTACTTGTACAAGTTAAATACATTTATGCATGCCAAGCTAATTACTCTTCCACTGAATAAGAGGTAGAACTACACCGTATATTAAGTTCCTACAAACATGATCACTTGTTTTCAAATCAATTCTAACCTTGAAGATTTAGATAAAAAAAGATCACTTTAATCGGCTTCACAAGTCAGATACACACGATGCCTCCAAAAAGAATAAACTCAGTGAACTTCGTCATTAAAATATTATTGGTAATTCTGCAAAGAACAATACTGTTCCGAGAAAGATGCTTAATAACCCCAACGCTTCCTGATTTTGTAGAAACCAGAAGCTATACAATATATACAAAGGGTTGTTCACTTTCTTGAACGATTTTTGAAGATAGGAAGTAATAAAAAATTAAACATACAAGTAAAAAACTGCTAAATTTATTACAGCGGGAGTCTACCAATTTGGCGGTAAACTTGAGATTTTCACAGAAGCGCAAAGAAAGAAAAAGCACGTGCAAGCAAATACATTCAAATACCCGAACGTAGAATGCAAGAGGCCCAGATATTCATGTTTGTTGAGGTAAACTTTTGATTTGCATGGATGATTTGGTCATTGCCTTTATTTATCTCAACGTGGGAAGTAGTCACCGAGCAAAATATCTGATACTTCCAGAAGGCAGGAACCAGTTTAACTATCATTGCAGCCCCTGCATGCCAATTAAATCAGAAATTATAGTTAGTGATCCAATCCACTTTTGTAAATACAAACAGCGACAAACATACAACTACTTATTTGTACCTCATTCGGGGCCATCAGGCACTTTGTATGATTCTGCGGTGATCTCTGTCAACCACGATCCAGGAAAAAGTGTCTGCCAATGTTGAACACCAAAAACAGTGATAAGCAGATATGTAGGTAATGTAAGACATAAATATAAGCTTGTGACACGACCAGCCAAAGATAAATGGAGAAAACAACGGTCTTTTTTTGCTTTATAGGAAGACCGAGAGAGGAACATTGAAAATAAAAACCAAAGAATTTTTCATTGTTCGAGCAAAAAAACCAATCCTTTCAGCATATTTTGGGCAGATTTTCATATCTTCCATTTCCACCCACATCTTATAGTCATGGAAACATAATCAGCATCATGGAAAGTTGAGAACCCTTGCAGAGACTTACGTCTAATTGCCTCTGTACAATCCTAGGCCTTTTCTTAGGCCTTCTCGGAGGCCTTGTCCCGACCATAGCCAAGAAATCTTCTTCAATCTCTTCCTTCGACAAAGAAACCGAAAGTTTGGTTTTCTCATTCTTCGCCTCGCTGACTGGGTTCTCCTTGGTCACCGCTGCTTCTACGACCTTCATCGGCAAAGAAGACGAATTGTACTTGCGCTCTTCTTCATGGGGAGCCTTACAAGCAGCTCTTCTTGTCCTCAAATTCCAAGGCCTAGCATTGGCTGCCATCTCCTCCTCGACGGCTCCTTCTTCAAGAATCGAAACTTTGAGCTTCTTAGCCGCCACTCTGAGATCGATCATGAGCTTCTCGCGAACCGCCTCGATATTAATCTCAGAATCTTCCTCTGGATTGGATTTACGTTTCGGATTGGAAGGTCGACGGTTATTTTGTTTGTGTTGGAAATGGGGATTACCCAAATTCGGTAGGAATCGCGAAGATCCGCGATCGAAAGAGGAAGGTTCGACAGAGTTGGGGGAGGCTTTGACACACCTGAGGAATCTTTGGTTGCCCCATTTCAAGCACGGAAATGAGAAGTTGTGCAGTGGCTTTGACGATCTTACAGGCCTCGTAGCCATGAGAGCTTCCAACTAGTCTTGCTCAACACAATCGAAGAGATGATATTTCCTTCTCTTTCTGGAGCTGACCTCAGTTAATCTGTGTAAAGTTCTCGTTTTTAAAGTTCGAGCGGAGTCTGTTCTTCGTGTTTTGTTCCCTGCGCTCCTCGTTGAATGTATATTTTGCCGGCAATCGAGCAATATATTGATTTCAAGAGATTGCAGAGAACGATATTTCCTGTTTGGGTCTGAAAATCATTGGGAGGATTCACACACATAAAAGAATGATATGAAAGGATGAGAGAGAGAAGCAGAGAGCGGTTTAACGTTCGGTGGGAATTCCGGTAGCTGTCATAAAGCATATGGCTTGCTATTTCCAGAGACTCCTGTTCTTATGTTCTTATTCTCCTTAATTAATAATTTTTATGCAATTTTAATTTGAAAAAATCATAAAAAATTACCGCTGAAATTAAAAAATTATATATGAGGACTCATTTATAAAAATTATTGTCAAAATCTATATTATTATTATCAAAAACACGTACTAATATTATAATAGATTCCTATTTGTAATTTTTTTATTTTAACGATTTTTTTTGTGATTTTTTTAATTTTACCAAAATTACTTTTTAAAAAATATTTTCCATTAATCGTTCGCTGTCCGCTACAAATTATCAGCATCTGTTCTATATTTTCTGGGAGGACACGAGATGTTTATTTAGTAGGGGCGCCCTTGATAACAATCTCATGGCCTTTTTATCTTTGAATGCGTCATACCCGGAGCAATCTTTTAACCGATATTTAAGGAATTGCTGGGGGCCAACTTTATTTTCTCAGTAAATTCAAATCTCTATCCTCCTGCGATAATTGAAGATAAAAATTTGCCCAAAATTTTTTAAAGAATTAGGAAAAATTAATCTTTTGGTCCTCCAAATTTTAGTTTATTTATAACTTACTTCCTCAACTATGACTTAATATAACTCAGTCTCTGAACTTTTGACTCGCTTATAATTCAGTTCATAATCTTTTCAAATTTAATAATTTAATCCTTATCATATAAAATTTATTTTTAGTCATCAAATAATTATCTTACATGGCAAAAAATACTATTTAATATAACTAAAAATTGTTGACATGTCATCCAACTCAACTTATATGTATTTAATTTTTTTTTTTTAGGGAGAAAAAGAAAATAGTTCGTCGTCTTTCCCGTCTAGTAGAAATGAAAGGAGGAGGGACCTTTGTGCCCAGACTAAAACGAACATCAAAACACAGGCTTAAAAGCAACATTCTTACCAGGAATATTATGATCAAATAGAAACGAATCAGAAGAAATTCCTTTACATCTCAAGTTAATCACGGAAAAAAGGAAGAGAAGGATGGCTAAGGATTTGAAGGATTAGAATTGCAGTGCTCGATGAAGTTTCCCAATTGGCAGATCTTAGAAGTATCTATTATATTGAGTTTTCTTATTTAAGCAAGCAGAAGAGAAAATGCACATCAAATTGAGTACCCTTAGTAAAAATTCTACAGCCCTCTGTTTCGTCTCCTTTTATGAACGCTGGGCTAATCACAACTCACTACAGGCACCAAACTTCACAGCTTACAACTTCACCTCTTCATGGGCTCCTTTAAGGCACTTGTTCTGGGCTCGTTTCATTCCTGGCCATGATTGGTATTTCCTTCAAGACACCATGGATAGAAGCTAAGTTGCTTCTTTCACTTCTACTGGACAGGGAAGACGACCAACTCTATTGTTTTCTCCTAAAAAAAATATTAAATACGTTAACTTGTGTTGGATGACATGCTAGCAATTTTTAGTGCCATAAAATAATATTTTTTTGCCATGTAAGATAATTATTTGATGACAAAAAATAAATTATATATGATAAGGATTAAATTATTAAATTTGAAAAGATTAGAGACTAAGTTATAAGCAAGTCAAAAGTTTACGGACTGAGTTGCACCGAGTTATAATTGAAGGACTGAGTTATAAGTGAATCAAAGCTTGAAGGACCAAAACATTAATTTTCCCAAAGAATTAATATAAACTTTAGTTCTTCAAATTTGTTTCCATTTTGATTTTGATTCGTCAAATTTTAAATTATAAGTTTTGGTTTTTTAAGTTCTTTTTGTTTAAAATATTGACCTTTACAATCTAATAAAAATTTAATTCATTTTGTCCTTTGAAAGGCTAAAACCTATGGTTTTAAATTTAAAAAATCAAAACAAAAACAAGAGCAAACTTGATAGACAAAAAATTATATTAACATTTTTTTTAAAAAAATATTGGCTTAAAGTCCCTCAAATCCTTTCGAGGACCTAAATCTTAAGGGAAGATATAATTAACAATCAAATGAGTGGTAAGTGGTAGCACATGACGAAAACGGCCCCAAACTCCGACTTTATTGCCGGTTATGTCTAGTTACGGTTAGGGCTCGAATGGTTTTCCAGAGCTGTTATGCCCGTATTAAAACGAATGGGTTCGGGCATTCCAAAAACCGGCCCACTTCCAAAGCAGCCACAAAGTTGATTTCTAAGATGGTTATCCGCTCACCATAATTGTTGCCCGCCAAAAATCGCCCAGGAACTAGGGAGGAGAGAGGGAGAGGAGTGCCCTTGGTTACTCCAAAGGCAATTTAATTGTTTAACTCTCAAGCATTATTCTCACAATGTAAAAGTATGGGATTTATAAGCAATTTTTCCGTTGTGAACATTTACGTATTACGTGTACTTTCTACGTAGACATTTATTCGGGCTATTATGTTGTCAAGAAGCATCTAAATTTGCACGGGTGTAAATTTTTTTCACTCCTCCAGTTTTAAAAGTGAGACTACGCAAAATGGGTCTTAAAAGAAGAAACACCAACAATTTAAGAAACTGAACTCAGAATCTCCTACTAGTAACTAATAAGAGAGTTTTAATGCTACCAAGCTACAAAGCAAAAGGAAAACCAAATGGACAGATGCCGTTCTAAAGTTCTGACAGGGAAAAGGTCTTCTCCGGCAAGAGAAAAGAAAGGTAAAAGGTCTTGCATCTCTGTAAGGATCTTGTAATTCTTTTATACACGTATATTGCCTTATCTACTTTAGGTTTCTTCATAAAGAATCAAAATAGCATGAGCATACTAGCAAGAGAAAAAGAAAAGGTGCCTAACCAACCGACAAAATAAAATATTTCCGCCCCTCCATTAAAAAACCAAGAACTTATTAAATGACTTTATTGAGGCCTCCCAAGAGTATTAGTAGCCATGGACGATACAGACATTACTCTCTAGAGGGCTTTCAGCTTTTGTACGTTACATTGTGAAGAACAGAAATATGGATCCAAGCTGCAAAAGAATTGAAACCAAAACACTCCTTGAAGATTCCTCAAGTCGTCATTGTAGAGGAGAAACGGCGAAAACATCCATTGCCCAAAAAAAGGGGGGAAGGGGAAGAAAGTAGGTTCATATTCTATACATAAAAGCTATATAATGAACATCCGGCTCATGAGAAAACGAACTCAATAGAGGCCTCTATTGGAAGTGACTCACTTCACTATGTATAAGACGAGAAGATTAAAAAAGAACCAGGCTGCTGGTTCAGGGGAAAATTTTGAATTGCCTATACAAGTATTTACAAAATCTATACCCCTCGCTCCTAAGAAGCACACTAGTCGCAGATGGAATTTATTGCCTCGGACTTGATCACACGGGTATTGTATGAGCCACAACAACCACATTTGTGATATAACCAGTGGAAGCGTGAAGAGCCCTTTCGATCACAATCATTGCACAGTATATCCTGCATTCCCATTACAAAAAAGACCAACAGAAATGAGACAAATCACAACAACTAAAGGTGTTTGCATAAACATCGAACAAATATGAAGCAGGAATCCTCTATAAAAAAATCCAAACTTCAGCAAAGAAGAAACAAAGGAGTAATATAGCATTTACTCATTTACAACCACTGAAAAATATTGAGGACAGACATGGCATACCTGATGTCGGTCCTTGTACTCTCCAGGAAGCGCCTCAGCAGCCAACAAAGCGTCGAGCATACCAAAGTAAACCTGGTTTTGCAGAGAACCAAATACATATTTTATGGCTACTGCTCCTACATATTTCAATTTCCACTTCAAAGACGCAATAGAAAGCTCAAAAGGCTGTGGCTTGTGCTATAATAATTTATAGCCCAATTATCCTACGTGTATTCAACCTTTTTTCCCTGTTGAACTAAGAGTATTCAACTTAACAGATAAAAGTTCTTCACTCAAAAATGGTAAACAACATTCAAAAAACGGAAACATGCATTCTAATTCTTAATCCATTAAATAATTAGATGTCACAAAGGTCGTATTTCCACATATACTATATACTGATCTCAAATTCGTAATTATAGTATGGGTCAACGCACGAATAGATTTGCTGAAGGTCAGAAAATGCAAACTAGTATTTAAGTTAATTGGGGGGGGGGGGGGAAGGCGATTTCCATTTTGATAATTTATATGGGGAAAAAACTAAAATACAAATACCTATTACCATATGCAAGCAATAAGATAAGTTTCTTCATGTTCCCATCAATCCTTGCCAATAGAAAGGAGTAAAAGAGTCCAAATTTGAAGTGCCAAGGATGAAACAACTCTCTATTGAGATAAAAAACGAAAACCCTCTATAACCATGATTTTAATTTTCAGAAAAATTCCAAAGCATTAAATGCATATTGACAACACAATTTAAGAGATGCACTGGCAGTTAATATATTGTTTTCTTACCGCCATATCTCCCAATGACTTGCTGCAAATCGGACATGTGTAGTGACTACAAGTGTATGCCTAAGATATTAAAAAAAATATATATCAAGTCAATTCTAAGAATAGCAGAAGGAACTGCATAAACTGCATATTTATTTCCTCACTGAGAAGAGAGGGGAGGTAGCAACTTGCAATCTGAGAAGGGTGTGAAATAGACCTGAAAGCAAGTTGAATGCATATAATGGCCACAAGGCAGAGCTCTGACTGTAGCACTGGATGTGAATAAGAAGTCGCAACAAATTGGACAGTTCATTTCCAAGCTTTTTTCCAAGCATTTGTGAGATGCTGATTTAATCCCCAGACAACAATTGCATTTCATACAATGAAAATAATCAATTCCAAGCCCTTTCCCAACACGGCATACATTGCAAAATGGGCAATGATATACATTCCTGAAAACGAATGATGCATGGTTAATGAACAAAAGCTACAAGAGGAAGAAATTCTGAAGTAAGAGTTAAACAAATTAAGTGTCTAGAGGGAGATCTGTGATTCACAAGTCCAAACGAGACTATCAAATGCCCCCCCCCCCCAAAAAAAAAAAAAAAAGATTTCAACTACTTCCCATACTGACATACGAATTTAAAGATGGTGAGAATATAAACTGAAACTTGTATTATTATACATTCATGAAAGAAGAGGAACTGAAAAACACCTTTCATCATCGAAAAATTTGCAGATGTTGCAATAATATTTTGCCATTGAAAGTCCATCACACGAAGGGGTCATGCATATGGGGCCAACTGCTTGTATATTCAAGCAGCGCATACACATCATTTCTGATGTTACCTTTCTGCAATGGACAAACTGATTATTAGAGATATAAAGTATAATAAAATATAAAAGATATCATCAGAAATCTACCTATCCATTGAGTGATCGCTCACATTGTCATGGCAAAATCTGCATGTAAATAACTTGCCACAACATGCAGCTCGAAGTTTGCAGTTTCTATTATAATGCTCACATCCAAATTCTTTTTTCTCCGGCTCCCGAAATGATGGTGATCTTCCTTCTATTTCTTCACCATTAGAAGATTCTCCAGGAACACCTTTGGGTAACTTCTGCTGGGAAGCAATCCAGCGACTACAATGTACAAAGTACTGATCAACAATTGGATGTTTAAGAGTATAGTACGTACAATGATATAACAAAGCAGTTGGTTATGCCGCACTATTATATAAACCAATGAAATTAGTATTCACTGGAACCAACCTCGTCATTAGATTTTGCACAAGATATGCCTTTCTCCTTGGGTCCAGAGAAGAATCCCGATAAACCTTCCGTATCTCTGCCTCAAGCTCACTTTGATTCATCCGGAATATGTCTTTCCAACCTGGCTTAAAGATCTGATCATTCAGGTCCACGCTTTCTTGATATTCAGTACCTGTGAAAGAGCCATAAGACATTTTGCATTTACCTATCTATCTCACAAAGCCGGCAAGACATAAAAGAAACTAATAACACAGCAGAAACCTCTTTGGGACGTGCTATGCTCTGATGCTTCCGTCAGTGGGATAGGCAATGGACTCTCTTTCCAGCATTCATTAAGCCATTCATTGAACATGGTGTTCTTAGTAGCCTGCTTCCATGTGTCCATCATTTTGTTCTGTTCATCCTGAGTCAGTGCAGAAGTTACCCATGGTAACATCGACTGGAGTACTTCAGCACCAGTAGTTCCAATTATCCGGCCAACTATCTTGTCTTGTTCTTCCACAGTGAAATGTCTCCCAAACAATGGCCAAAGCTCACGCTCTTCTCTGAAAATATGCTGATGCAAGGTGACTCTTATGGATTTGCACATCCCTTGAAGTTTAGTTGCTAACTCATTATAGTTTACTATATTATCACTCACAGTGGCATCAGAAGTTTCAAAATGGCTAGTGTCCTCTGACATATTGAATCTCTGCGGACTTTCACGAAGAACAGAAAGCTCAGAAAGAACACAGGATATATCTTCGAATAATTTTTCCTCCTGCCTATGATCCAGCGTGTATGAATGACTCACATTATGAAGTGCCTCTTTGGATTCCAGTGCTGGAAAGACTATGTCATCTTCAGCATTACTGTGAGCTCTATGTAAACCCCATAAAAGGCGAAATCTTCCAGTAAATTGACGAAGAATTGTCTCATCACCATCACTAAGCTTTCCAGATTCAACATCTAAATACTCCAAGTCTTTACGTATAGCTTTATGGAATTTAAATATAGTATCAATCGGTCTCTCTGCAGAACTAGCATCACAAGAGGGGTTATCTGTTATGAAAAGACTGGAATTAAGAGATGGGGGAGAAGAGCTGAAAGACAAGGAGCGTAACGACTTGGTAGAGGAATGAGAACTGAGCCCCAAATTATTACCGCTTACTCCTAAACCTGGCACACAACAAGACTGAGCACTACAACATTGCTTTTGGATACTTTCAGTTTCCGAAGTTTGAGGGACATCCCCATTCTTGCAGAACTCCAACATGTTTTGCTTGACCAGTTTTTTGTTCTCATCTGATTCAGCTGATACTGGGCAACCATTAGAAGAAAGCGCAGAAGCACAAGCACAAGATGACTGGAATCTGTTGTTTTCAGTACCACCAAGATTTCTAGCAGGAAAGAAACTTGGTACACTTGAGAACAAGCACAGACCCTCCTTACGAGCCTTGCAAACCCAACCACAGAAGAGTGTGACTAAAGCAGAATCTGTTGGAGGAGCTGGAAAAGGTTGACAGAATGTCAGATAAAAAAACAGAAAAGAAAATGAATATAATCAATTTTTCTAGCAAGGGAACATCTAAAAGAGATACAGAACCTGCCAGTTGCATGTTTTTAAGAAACATCTTTGTTTCATCTTCGGTTAATGATCCTACCAACCAAGGCAGGACACCTTCAATCAATTTCAGAGGCATCATACACAAGCTTTGGTACAAAAGTTCACGTTGTTTTTTGAAGCTGAAGTGCTTCCGAGCCAGTGGAAGAACCTGCAAAAAGGAGGAATTGACCACATACTCCAAAATATAATAATTTTAGCTTTAAATCAAAATATTTTTGCCAAGACACATGCTGTAAATATTCACTCCGGGACTGAAGAAGCAAGACAACTTCCCATGCTACACTCTTTGACAAAGAAATACAAAATTTAACCATATACATGAACCTTTGACAAGCTACAAGGTAACTAAGCACAAGTCCCCCACAGATCCCAAGACTGACTTAAGTTTCTTCTTGCAGATTAACATTATACTTGTGTATATCTCACAGTAAGCAATCTTGAAATATTACTGCTTGAACAATGGCCACCTGAACTTCTTCATTGCGGAAATGCCTCTGTATGGTTTCCACTATATGATCAGCATATGAGCATAACTTGGGATAAAATTCAGCTTCTGAATTGGATGTTGCTCCTTCACTCTGAATGCCTTCAATCAAACGCCGGAACTCATTAAATTGGCTTTCTTCTTCAGCATGCTCCTGAAAGAAAGAAAGTTCGCCATCTACAGCAGGAAATATAACCTTGTCCTCAGCAATACTGCATCCACAGAAATTATTGATTCTTCAGACAAACAAGGTAGCTGTTTATCATTCAAGCAACACATTCCGTCAGCATTTCTTGTTGCACATGTCTAATACTATAAAAAGAATAAAGCACAAAGAAGAGAGGACAACAACATCATGCATATGGACCCAAGAGAGGGTAAAACTGAACAGATGAGTTGTAACAAGCAAAATACATTGAAAAAGAAAGAGGGCTTACAAGAAGGGAAAAAAAATCTTACAAGAAATATAACATAATTCCACGAGGTTGATATATTAAAATTAAGATCATACCTATGAAATATGCAAACTTCAGCAATAAACTGTAATCTCTCGTTAAAAGCTGACAAATTAGTAAAATTTCCAGAAAGTTGTATCTTTCTGGTCTCCACCACTATCTCACTCAACTCTCTTTTTATCGCATTATGCCATAGCAAAATTTCATCAATAGGATGTGTTCCAGTGGCATCAGAACCATCTAGAATAGATTCAGGATGTTTCCTTTTCCCAGTTGTTGCAGGCTCACAAGCACAGCTTGCCGTCCCTATCAGATGGGTTAATGGGCTAGGACTGCAGCGAACATGAGAATGATGTGCACAACTTTCAACTGTGTTAACACCACTTCTACCTTCCATCCAAGTGAAAATAACCTTCGATATGGAAGAATGGCAGTCAGATGCAAAACCACGACATAACAAATTCTCATAGAGAGTAAATCCTTGACCTCAACCAATACACTTCAAAAGGAGAAGAACTTCATGGGGAAGGGAGGAAAAGGCAGCATTATCGAATAATTGGAAACAGCATACTCTGAAGCAACATTGAAAACTATACCTTTTGAAGAAGCTTTTCTCCTGGTACTATCTTGCTTAAGCACTTCTGCAGATCAATAGATTCATCCGATGATATAGATGTTGAGAGCCAAGGAAGAAATTCTGTCATTGTATTGACAGGAATACTGCAAAGAAACTGCCAAACTAGAGATGCCTGTTCGTCTATTGAGAATTTCTCAATAAGCAATGGAAATACCTGATATAATCCAAAAAGAAAATCAGTTACACCTTAAGCAATTGAGCATTAATTTGATATCAAGAAGTCACAAGGACAAGCATAAATAGAAACACCATAAGCAGGTCATTATTCAAATGTTTATTCAATATTCCAGATGAGGAAAAACATGTAAAGACAGAGACTTTATACATCAGAATCATGCAAGAGTTTAAACAATCAATGTCAACTGACAGAATTGTGCGGACCTCAAGTTAAAAAAGGCCAAACTAATACCAACAGCATATGATATTTTTCAACAAAGATCATGGTGAGATCTCAATTCTAAATATCAGATAGGCGGGATCCATTTTCAGTTACATCACTTTGTTTTTTTTTTTTTTTAATCCTTTTTAAGCCATCCAATAAGTGTCTGAAGTCTAAATAACTCATATCTGATTTCCCCTAAAGACTAAAACCATTTTTCTTTAACTTGTTACTTCCGCATGTTGTACATAACATGCTCGTATACACCAGAATTTTCAAACATATATACCTGCTCCTCTTCCTTAGCCATGTGTTGATTAACTGATGTCTGCAAAGCTCCCGTGCAAGACGCTAACTCCTTTGAAAAACTTTCATCATTTTGGATATTAGAATTTAGCAGCTCAAATAGATGATCAAAGAGATTGCTTTCACCCTTGTGTTCAAGAGAATATGTCTGGGCCACATTCTTCACACGTATATCGAGAGCAGGAAAAATCACCTACATGTCCAAAATATATTTTCCTAAGAAATTTGGAGCGCAGCTGAAAAGCAGCAGTAATGCCAAATAAAATAAAAGACACTTCAGGAAAGTAGGCAGGTTCCACAAGGTAAGTATATAGGACTAGCATCATACACAAGCAGTGAGTGGACTCTATCAAGAAATTTGTAATATCTCTACGATGCACAAATCAAACCCAAGGGGAATCTTTGATAATTTATAGTTGAAGTTGACAATAAGTTTCCCGTGCATTGAAGGACTAGCAGAAAGACTTAAGTTTCCCATGCATGGAAGGACTAGCAGTAAGACATACCACCAAAAATTGTTGGTCATTCCCCCAGCTGTTTATCAAATAGATTAATTACCTTCTTATAACCTCAACGTAGTCATGAGTCAATGTTCAATCAGTTTCAGGGTAGGGCCAGCAATTGATATTTTTATTTGGTGACAGAAAATACCAATAAGTCTTTCCCATGAAATACTTGGGCCAACCACGATAGCTCCAAGGATATTAAAAGCGCTTGTAATTTTTATCAGGAGCAAATCAGGAAAGGAACCATATTAGGATATTTTCGTTAATTCTTATTCTCAAAAGGATAATGAAAATGATAGTACAGTCGAAGCAAATAGAAAATCCTGCTTCTGGTAAGAAACACATATCCGATGTTTCAATTGCCAATTACTTTTGTATTTCAACTTAAGTTCTTCCAAAAACCAATAGATGAAGACAACGGGATATCCATTTCAACGATAGGGCTTTGGCTATCAAGTATCTGTTTCATAGCTTTCGATAAGGAGTAGCAGAAGCTAAAAGCCAAAACCCCTGATGAAAGGAGTTTACCAGAAAGAAGCATAAGCTGTTAGTCGACCACAATTTGCGAAAGAAGAACTTAAAAATAGAGGGAAAAGTAATCACGAATTTATTCCCGTGTGTTCTCCAGATGGAGAAAGAGGAGAGTATATGTTTATGCTGATCACAAAAGTAGAGCCACGCTAAAGTGAACAAGAATCAGACGCGGACCTAAAATACGCAAAAAGGAAAAGAACGCCATTTCGTCGTCGAAAGATGTAGTTAGTGAACATGCGGCTGAGAAATTTCCGTTTCTAGAATAGTGCCAACACTTGACAAAATCTGATAATGCAGTAGCTTGAGAAATAGACTTGAATAAATTAATTTCAACATATATATAATGAACCAGGAATCCGAAAACTACACCTCATCTTCAGCATTGGAGTGGTGTCTATAAATGGATCTAACGAAATGATAGCGCTCGAAGAGGGGCTGAATATCGGAGCAGTTGCCCGTTGCAAATGCCATAGCTAACCGGTGAAGAGCATCAAGCTCATTTCGAATGGCCTTATGAAAGAATAAGAAAATCAAGATTGGGGACTCCAATTCAGAATAGACCAAGACACCATTGGAGGCCGCAGTAGACGGCGAGGAGGAATCGACCTTGTTGGCAGAATTGGAAAGCACGGCCACTCCTCCTCCTCCTTCCAAATGCTGCAGCCCCGCCATCGGTGTCGCCATGCTCTTTTTCGTCTCTGGGGATCCTTTCTTGGACCTTCTCGTGCCGTTTATTTTCCGGGAAATTTCTACATCCAGCTTCCTTTGTCGGCGTCGCCGAACTTCCTTTTAGTTTTGGACTTCTGTTTTCTGTTTCTCTCTCTCTAAATATTTATATTTTATGATACCTTGGCGCTGGCTGCTGTGCACGATGTCAAGCGTGGAAAAGATATCGAGAGATCGCCTCACTTTTCCCTGCGTCTTCGTGCCTCCATAGTTGAATGTGTATAGTTCATAATGCCTGTTTTTAAATTTTGATCTTAATTATTTATTTTTTCTTATTTATTATATTTTCTCTCATTATAATTTTTTTATTTTTTATTTATTATAAAGATATATTTAAAAATAAAAATAAATTTTTAACCGATTTATCATTTTTAACTAATTGTTTATTATTTTTGAATTGGTTATTTAAATTATTTATTTGTTATGCATCGTTTTATTTGATTATAATAAAATTGTCTGTTAATGAAAAAGCGTGGGGATATTATTATTATTATTATTATTATGCCATTACTACATGTTATTATCGTCATTTTGTCCGTTGGCGGAACCGCGGGAAAATATGATGGCGGAAAAAAAATTGCGGGAAAATCTATATACAATGCGTGACTTGAATGAGTGGGTTGGCGTTTTCGTTAGGCCGATAGCGAAATTAACAAGAGAACCGGGTTTCAGAAAGCGAGCGCCCAGTTATGAACTGGGTTAGTCCACGTGGCCAGACGTGCCACGTCGGGAGATCATGCCGTGTGCCCATGGAGGTGGGCGCCGTTACTTGGGCACCTGACTTTTGAATACTGTTCGATACAAGGGAAATGGGAAAAAAAAAATTTGGGATTTTGAATTTAAATAAAAAAATAAGTAATATAAAAGAGTAATAAAAATTAATTAAAAACTTTTAATCCCATTTTTTATTTTTCAAATTGAGTTTATTAAAATTCTCCTTCTCCTCCTCTCTCCTCATTTTTCTTCACACCAAGCGGATGCTCAAAGTTTTTCTCCTTTTTTATGCTATCTGATTCCCTTAAAATACTTGCAAATTAATGCCCATCACAGTTCCTAGAGTGTTTGGATTAGCCTTTTACAAGTAATTTTACGAATATATAAACTAAAAACATGGAAAAAAATTATCTTAATTTATATAAAAATATTTATTAACAGTTTTTAAAGGTTACCAACCCCCCACGGGATGCTTTCGAAAATTCCGTTGGTTTAACAAGTTGATAAATTATTAGTATTCTTTGTTATTGCATTTTTTAATTTTAATATAATACTTATTTATAATGTAAAATTATATTATAAAATGATTTTTATATTTAGAATCGCAAGGTGTATATTCTTTGATTGCGAGGATTTTTGAATCTACTGAGAATGAAGGGATGGGAAGAGGGCGAAATAGAGGCCAAGTTCATAAATCATAACGAAACGCAACCTCTTGTTGATGATAGAGGCCAGATAAAAAGAGAGCTTTTGCGTCGTCATATTTGGGTGATAAATAGCTGGCGTTAGTTCAAAGGGCTGGATTTTTAAATACTATCTCCAGTTTTTAATATAAAAGTTAGTTTAGTTTTAAAGTTAGTTTAGTTTTAATTTTAATTTTAAATATAAGATCACAATTTATTTTGTCTCTTATATTTATTTATTTTTAAAGTAATTATTGTAATAGTTGCACATATCAAAAGTTCACTCAAATCGTACTTTTATCTAATACTACCTCCGGTCCTTAATATAAGATCCTGTTTGACTTTTATTTTGGTCTTAAATATAAGATCTTAATCCACTTTGTCTCTCATATTTACTCAATTTTTTCCAAGATAGTCATTCTAATAATTATAGTTCTAGTTAATACGCTTGATTAACAAGGATATTTTAGGAAAGACAACATCTATTTGGAACAAATAACTAACTCAACTTATTTTCTTAATCTCCTTAAATTAGTCAATTGACTCTTATAATTAGGATCGGAGGTAGTACATGATTAGTAAAAGTATTTTTAAAAAAATAATACCTAATTATTACAGATAACTAATTTAATAAATTTTTTTAATTTTTTTAAATTAGTTAACTAGTTTTTATATTGATAACAAAATCTAGTATTAAAATCACAAATAGAACTGGAGAGGGAAATATGAATTGTAAGCGTATGGGAAACGACACCAAAGACAAATAAAAAGCGGTAGAAAGAAGCACCGCGGTACTGATTGAGAGTGACGGCAAGTGGTATGGGATCCATAATGCGATTTTGAATTTTAGAAAAAACATATTTATTAGTAGAGAAAATAACTTGTTAAATGATGCACTTTGGCTTTTTAAATCTAAATTCGACTGCTTGGATGTTTTGTTTAGGATTAATATAATTCTTAATCCTTCAAATTTTTTCTTATTAATATTTTAGTCCCTCAAATTTTAAATAATAGATTTTGATCCTTTAATTTTTTCGTTTAAAATATTAATCCTTATAATTCAACAAAAATATTGAGTATTTTGTCTTTTGAGGAACCAAAACATATGATTTAAAATTTAAAAAATCAAAATCAAAATAAAAACAAACCTAAAGAATAAAAAAATTATATTAACCATTTTGTTTACGTTAAAAGACCAATATTTAAAAAAAGTGTTGAGTACCCAAATAGTGATATTTAACTTCTCATTGCACAAAAGGAAAAAGAAAAATATCTATTAAATTTAAAAAAAATAGATAGATTATGTTAATTATTCTTATAATGATTTTGAGGTTTTGATAGGTCATAATCTATCAAAATCACTTATCTATCATTTTAAAATTCAATAAATATTTTTTTATCATTTTTTCAACCAAAAAAAAAAAAGAACGAGAGGAAAAAACACTTCAAGGGTGGTTCCGCCACTTTGCCCGTTTTAGTGGATTTTTGCCTTTAAATTATGCTTTTTGAGAGTATTAAGTAACTTGAACGTACTCTTACATTAAACGTACTTTATTTTTTAATTAATGTGTTATTCCGAATACTTTGTCCATTTGAACCATTTTTAATATATATATAGAGAGAGAGAGACACACACACATGAGCATTTTGAGCGGAAAATTGACAATATTGGAAGGAAAAAAAAAAGAAGAAAAGAAAACAAAGAAAGTTCCCTCGTTATTGCTCGCAACAATCTAGCCAATGTGACTGAAATTTATTAAAATTTAACATTTTTGAATGGGAGCGAGACTGCGATTTGACCCCACTGGATGTATGTTAATTAGATAAAGGTGCTGCTTCGCCAGCTAAACTCAAACAAAATACTCGGAAAGATTGATCGACAGAAGCTTTAGCACAGACGGAGCCTGGAAAGTGAAGGGAGGGAAAAAGCAAGCTCACTGCTTCCCCATTCCCTTCGCCAGTAAAATCTGTGAAGTTAATGGCGCTCAAATCACTGTTCATGCCAGTTGCCTCATTAATTCACTTTACTCAGAGGAAAACCCTCTGTTCGGGGGTCTACATGCCAAGTTGATGAAAAGCAAAAGTAAGCGGTGGAATACACTAATTTTGGAACTCAAAGTTGCAATCCCAAACGGAAGACGATGAATTGTCAAATCAAACTGACTGTGGATAAAAATGAGATATGATATATCGACCTGCCATCGATTATGGAAGATGATTCCGCTTTACACTTGGTGTGAGCTTTCTTTTGACGCCTTTTAATATTTGTCTCCACGTGTGAGTGTAAAGCTAGCTAGCCAGTCCATTATGGACAAGATGACCAACCTCACCCACTCAGCTTTTCACCCCACAATCTGTTTCATGCTCACACGCCCATCCCTTTTATGTGGCTTCGGTTGGGCTCTCGAGTCAGTGTGCTCATCCTTATCATCAGATAAAACCGTCGAATTAATACTGGGGCAAATAACATGAGTATTTTGACGAGAGATCTGCTGGCTTCAAAGTTCAAACACACCGTTAATTTTCATTCGCATGACTCGCGCGCACGCGACTATTTACAAGCTAGTATGCTTACAGGATCATTAGATTTATGCTTCCAAATTATTCTTAGATTTATTGAAACTAAGTATACTGAATGTATGAGCTTAAATTGTCAACATATAGATAAGCTTGAATAAGCAAGTTTTCTTCCATAGATAGCACATGGCTCAATGGCTCATGTCAAATCGCTATCTACGCCTAATAGATTTACAGAACATAGAAAATCAATGGTTGTCAAAAGTGCCAATTCTCCGCCAAAATTTATGACAAAATCTTGGGCGCATATTTTTCCCCAGCAGATCAGCCAGTGTCCATGAGGTTTCAAGTTTCAACTAATTTCAACGAGTTTTACACACACACACACACGCATAGCCTAATCACATTCGGGAATGTTTGGATAGAAATCAAATCATAATTTTAAAAGTATTTTTATGGTATACGAGATAAATATGTAGAGGAGTTTGTCTCGTTTTGCGGAAAAATATTTTTTTTCGGTGCTTCCAAACACCCATTTCGAGCCACATTGGATCGAAGCCTGATCAGGTTACTTCGTTAGCAAATTAGTCATAATATTGTTCTTTTTTAAATACCACGTAATATTTTACTTTTGAATGACTGTTTACGTCTAGGTAGTTTTTTTTTTTTTATTCCCCTTTTCTTTTGCTGTTACGTACTTTAAAAAATCATGTTCCGAGCAAAACTTGGATTAAGAATTTGTTTTGGGCCTTCAGTCCATCTGTCTATCACATCTTCCCAAAAACCCAAAAAAGAAATTTTGTTATCCAAACCAGGCCTCACCCTGTATTGATCATCTCATGCCAGCGCCCATGCCGAGCTCCAAGCTGACAGCTCCAGCTTCAGCAATCAGCAGCATCAACGCTTAATTATTCGAATTGAAAATTAAAAAAAATTAAAAAGGGAAGAAGCAAAACTCTCACCCCTTTGCTCCCCGAATCAAATCAAATGGGGCGTTGGCGCATCGCCGACTCCGACCCCTTTCCAATCCGAATCTCCGCTCAATTCTGCTGTTTGCGGCCATGAATTTCTAGGTCCCCTATTGGTTTTTCATCTTCCAGCTGTGCTTACCGTGAATCAAATTTGTTCACCTTGTCTTCCTTTGATGGCGGGTTCTTCGATCATGGACAACCTTTTCCAGCGCACTTTGGAGGATTTGATCAAAAGTTTCCGCCTCCAGCTCGTCGGCGAGTCTGCCCTCATTTCAAAG